AGTAGTTTGTATGATGCATGCAGTAGTGTGTACATCCAGTAGTGTGTATGACACATGCAGTAGTGTATCCATGCAGTAGTGTGTATGGTAAATGCAGTAGTGTCTCTGGCACATGCAGTAGTGTGTACTCCACAGTAGTGTGTATGACACATGCAGTAGTGTGTATGGTATGTGCAGTAGTGTCTCTGACACATACAGTAGTGTGTACTCCACAGTAGTGTGTTTGACACATGCAGTAGTGTCTCTGGCACATACAGTAGTGTGTATGACACATGCAGTAGTGTGTATGGTATGTGCAGTAGTGTGTACGGTACATGCAGTAGTGTGTATGACACATGTAGTAGTGTGTATGGTACAAGCAGCAGTGTGTATGGTACATGCAGTAGTGTGTACTCCACATGCAATAGTGTCTACTTCCATTGAAGTACTCTGTACATGTATAGAGTACTTACATTATGTGAATTAAACATCATTTGTCTCAGAGTGTTCACAAGGTAGTGTTCAAATCTGAGACAGATAGACTTAAACTTAGACAAACTTTATTGATCCACAAGCCAAATTATTTGGTCACAGTAGTTCATATGTCACAATATAATATAATAATAAAGAGTAAAACATATAAATGGTAATAATAAATTGTAAATAAGTAGCAAAATGTTTTTAAGAGACAGGTGTCAGATAAGACATAATTGTGTAAATATACTGTATATGTACAAATCAAAATAAAATAGAAACATAAGTAATTAAAAAATAGGGTGGTTGTTATTAAAAACTTACTTACTTTTCATTGTACTTTACTGTAGTAACAGTACACTAGAAGCATGGTAAGAAAGAGGTTAGTACGGTCTCCTCACAGGGGCCTTTCTGGTCTGGATGAGCCCCACTGTGTGTCTGGACTAGATTCTTTGTTGTGGGTTCCATCGGTGATTATGAATGTGAACAGTAAAAGGGTCTCCTCACACTGCACTGTGGTCACCAGCATTAAAGGATGGCTCAAATCCATGGGTGATAATAAATAAAGGTACATTTTCAGATTGGGACAATAAGAGTGCATTACACCAGCTGGAATACTGTTGAGAAGGGATTGAAAGAGATGGACAGATGTGGAGAACGACTGAAGTAACCAGCATTAGACTTGGTGAGTTCCTTTCCGCTCACCTAAACGCTCCATTCTGAATCCTCTGCAGCCGGGTCCAATGTGTGAATGACCCGCAGCCTGAGCGCCATTCACCGCAGTGTCTCCTCTGCTCTGCGTGTGCCCGCTCACATGCCTATTACATAACAAGCTACTCCCTCCTCACATCCACACATGCACGCTCCGCTGCACACGCGCTAAAAATACCCGCACAAGACAAGACGGCCGCTGCTCCGAAATACCGCGCCATGCACTCAATTATTCATTCAGAAAGATCCGAGCGCGGCAGGAATAGACTCGGGATGATAACAATAACCCGGGACATTTTTGTGTTTTGTTTTGGAATTGAAATAAGGCATTAGTTACAAAAAGACATGTAATGCTGACAAAAAGTATATATAGGTCTACAAAGGTTTCAGATTAAATGGAAATTAATGCAGGATCTGGAAAGACGGGCGACAAGGAAAACACAGAATAAGCTAAAAAAAAAAAAAAAAAAAAGGAAGAAGAAGAAAAGAATATGACAAAATAAGTAATGACACTAGGGTGGATAACCTACTTTAAAGTATATATTAAAGCCCCACTCCACCCCACTTTAGTCAAAAAATAGACTAAATAAAAGTGCCTTTTCAATTTGATTGTTTTTATTGCACAGCAAAATGAAGAAAAAGACTTACTGTGAGCAAGCTTGCTATTCCACAGACCTTACTCTTTTGTACTGGAGGAGAGACTCCTTCTCCTCCATGGGAACGCTGTTAACTTGGCTATAATATTTCACAGTGTGACGTAAACCATATCTCCATGGAGAACGTTTCCAGTGTGATTTTCTATTTTCATTGTATTCTTCATTCAGATGACGTGCCAACTCCAGAAAGTTGCGCAGTGTTGCTTTAAACATTAGCTTAATAGCGTCTCCATGGAGATGTTGTTCCTTTACCTGGAATGTTCAGTATCCCATAAAATGTATCTATGTAGAAAAGCAAGGAGCAATACCAGGCAAAGGTACAGGACAGATCTGTGGAGAGGTGTCTCAGCTCAGAGTAGAATACATTTTTCAATTTTTATTTTCTTTTGAGGAATAAAACTAAACCTGTAATTAAATGAATGGCAAATACACAGGGCTACAGTGGAAGATTCAAGGCAAACCAATGATATTGCCATGGAGACAAGCAGATGGTGGGTCCTCAATTAGAAAAGTGTCCTAGTGCAGCTTTAATTGATTGCAAAGCTTTTTCTCTGTGTGTACCTCTTGTATTCCTTTATACTGTCTTGTGTCATGTCCACTTAACGTCATGTCTCGTGTAAGTGTATTGTGATGTACCTTCACATATGACGACTGCAACGTTGGTCTTCAAAATGATTAACCAATCAGAAAGCAGAATGAGCCTCAACATGAGTCTCTTATTTGGGTTGCCAGTTTCAATGCTAGAATCCAGTTGTTTGAAACCTAAAACGCATCTCTCTGATCTGAATGGTCACTCCCTAAACCCCGGAACCTGCAACCAGTCATGAATCAGTGCTAGTGCAGCCTCTACGGCTCAGTGAGGGAATTCTGGAGGTTCAGAGCTTTCACATGAGGCGTGACCTGTCTATACAGTGAGAATGAGAAAACTTGCATGTGTTCTGTATCTGCAGGTTATTTATTTATTTATTTAACTGTAAGAGTGCAGGCTATATATATAGTTCCTTTAACGTAACCGTTTTCCCTTGAAGCTCGGTCCCATTCATCCATTTATTGGTTTTCATTTCTGTTCAGTTTTATTAGCATGTTGCGTTAAATAAAAATGCAAAAAATAAAATTAGATGTTTTTTTTTAAAGTATCTAATAGACTACAGTTAACTTAATATAAGCTATAATAATGGGGGGGAAAAAAAAGAAATGTTTGTGCCTTTACTACATAGACTCCAAAACGCGTGGCCAGACTCGGACATTTGGCACGGTCCCGGAGTTTTGGGTCGAGCGTAGCGGGCAGCAGAGGCTCGGAGTGCGGTCGGCCGGGGTATTTTTAGGCCGTGCATGCTCCACACAGCTCCATCCTGCGCCTACACAGTGAGCTATAAATAGACCCTAGCGCTGCACCGGAGCCATTTTTAGCTCTGCATTTGAGAGAGAGAAAAAAAAAGTGCTGGTTCACAGAGATCGGTCTGAATGAACAGCGCGTTCCACAGAATCCTACCGCTGCGCAAACGTGCTTATAGTTCAGGTTTAAGATGATAGCGCAGGTTATGGCTGTGTTCATGTTTTGCAGATTCTGTAGGGCTATCCGCTGGTATTTCAGTCCATGTTTGGTCCATATTTCATCCTGGTTTAGTCCCAGTTGAAGACCTGGTTGGCGCATGCGTCGGTGTAGACTAATCGTAGTGTAGCGCGGATGATTTTACCGTAGTTTGGTGGTTCAGTCCGGGTTTGGTCTGCACTAACATTAAATATAAAATAGCTTTACTGAGAAGCAGACGTGTTGGTAGGTTTATGTATCACTACATCAACTAAAATAACCCAACATCGATAGTAAAGAATTGGGAACTTCAAAAAATCTGGCCTCGTTTGGAGACGGGTAAAGTCGTGGTAACAAAATGCATTTAATTACTGAAAGCTCCACAGCTACCTACCAATCTGGGCTTTTACGACTGCTATGTGGCGCCATCTTGTGGATTCAGGGTGCACAGGTTTCCCCAGATTTTAAGATTAAGTAAAGTTAAGGTTAATGTACTCTTTATTGTCCCTATAGGGAAATTTGTCCTCTACGTCAGTGCCGTTGGGGAAACCTGTCAGGAGCAAGGATGCATCTCCAGATCTAGTGCCAGCCTATGTCAGGACCACCTTAGCTGGAAGACTGCGGTCAGGTGAACATTTCAGATGACAAATTGGAGAGGAATATAGGGTAAAACATTGTAACTTTTCTGGGGAGCAAGTTAAGGTCCTATATTACGCAATATTGACTCCTGTGAGCTTAGAATGTTACCTCCTCAAAAACAGACATCTCCTAAAGCTCAAAATGCTCTGTTCCAACTTGTGATGTCATGAAGCGGTAATACCTTTTGTTTTGCTGAGATTGGAAATCCCAGGGCTGAAATTAAACAAATCATTCTAGTGAAAGTGTCCATCCATCCATCCATCTTATCCGGGGCCGGGTCGCGGGGGCAGCAGTCTAAGCAGAGACTCCCAGACTTCCTTCACCCCAGACACGTCCTCCAGCTCCCCCGGGGGAACCCCGAGGTGTTCCCAGGCCAGCTGAGAGACATAGTCCCTCCAGCGTGTCCTGGGTCTTCCCCAGGGCCTCCTCATGTGGGACAGACCCAGAACACCTCCCGAGGGAGGCGCCCAGGAGGCATCCGGAACAGATGCCCGAGCCACCTCAGCTGGCTCCTCTCGACGTGGAGGAGCAGCGGCTCTACTCCGAGCTCCTCCCGTGTGACTGAGCTCCTCACCCTATCTCTAAGGGAGCACCCAGTGCCCTAGTGAAAGTGTATGGCGTTTAAAAAAACAATAGAGCACTTCCTGTATTACCACGACATCACAACTGGTTGGAACAGCGTGTTTTCCGTTTCAGAGAAGAACTCCACCTAAATTAAACGTGTGAATGAAACAAAACACAACTCCAGGTTTGTTTTTGATGAGGAAACATTGCAAGATAGATCAGAAAATAACGTAATATAAGACCTTTCATTGAAAAAAAAAAATCAAACAAACATCCATTTTTTACTGAGCGGGTTGCCTCTCTACAGATCTGACCTGTAATTTGACCTAGTGGCTTTGCCTAGTTGTCTCCATGGAGATAAGTTTAATGCAGGTCTACTAGAAAAGTAACAAGTTATATTTTTATAAGTTTATATTTAGTTGATGAACACACAAGACAGTAAGAGGTAAAATCACACACTCTTTAATACTGTACATACAACCTCAGTCTCCATGGACCTGTCCGTCTACTGCGCTGCAAAAATAATATTTCCATGTGAAAACACTTGAATTACAAATAGTTATCTGGATTTGAGTAGGTTTGAACTGATCTGGAGCCTGGATCTGTCTTTAAAATATACTTTTTAAAATCATAATCTGTAGTGTTTTTGTGTACTTCTTTTAGTTATTAGTCACGGTTACTCGAATTATTTGGTAAAGCTCCAAATTCAAGTGCAATTTTACCTTACTTAAATCCAGATATATTGGCAATTCAAGTAATTTTAACTCAAAAATATCAGTTTTTGCAGTGTGATTCCTTTACAAGCGCAGGGAGCAGCATACATCAGATACAGTTTGAACACAAGGTCCCACACAGGAATGGTCAGTTTAGGAAAAGACATTTGAGATGGTGAGAATTCATATAATTAATTGAATGTTTCTCCCAGCAGCGAAATGATTCTTAAAATACTGCATGGCAACCTCTGCCAGTTAAAAGCTTAAAGACAGTGCCGTTATATTATTGAAATGCTGAATCATCATACCCTGTCCAAACATAGTGTATGATCAGTGCATTAGACCCTCCCAAAGCTATCATGAAGCATGAGTGCATTTTGATGACGGTCGTAACAGGAAAATTGGGTTAAAAGGACTTGATTTCAGAATAAAAGCATCATTTGAGCTGTTTTAACTCAATAAGTCAACTAGATTACCGGTATAACCATTTTATTTGACCTGTTTCAAGGCATTTCTGGGTGAAAACATTGCGCTCGGTAAGTCATCAAAAGTAGAATCCAGTAAAACGAAAAACATGACCAGAAGAAAAACTAATAAAACAACTCAAATCAGCTGTATTCTGAATTTAAGTCATTCTAACTCAAAGTAATTTTCAAAAATGATATAATTAGACTTAAAGAAGGGTTATTAGACTTCTATGGAACATAACATTTACCGTATTTTTTGGACTATAAGTCACGCTTTTTTCATGGTTTGGGTGTTTCCTGTGACTTACACTCCGGTGCGACTTCTATATTAAAATTTTCAGACTGACAGCCGTGAGAGGGCACTCTAGGCGTGTGTGTCAGTATCTAGTACTACTATTACTCCTGTACCACTGTCACTTCACTCTCTACTGCCGAGGTAAAAAAATTCAATGGACTTAGTGATTTGGAGTGAGATGGTGAGTTTGGTAAACTTATATTCTGTTGTTTATGCTATAATTATCTGAAAAACTGTTAATATGTGACATTAACATAACGCCTATTCAGCCTATTGTTCTCTCTTCTATTGTTATTACTAGAACTTGCCTTTCAAGATGAAATGTCGGTTCCTGGTCTGGATTTTATAAAATACATTTCCCCAAAAACTGTGACTTATACTCTGGAATGATGTATAGTTCGGAAAATACGGCATATCAACACTTTCTCTTTTATTGCTTTGAAAATGCAGATAACTACGCTGTAACAGTTTTTTTTTTTTTTTTTCAGGACGCAATCACAACACAATCAGGGTTGAAGTAGTGTATTGTTTTGTATTCTTCATGGTAAAAAGAGCCAAAAAGTCAGTTTTGTATAATGCCCTATCTTTAAACGGATATTTTTTAATTCTACGTTTCAAATACAACATAAAATATTGTATGGAGAAACTTACATTTATGGTTGTATTATGCTAATATTATCTTATCTTTGCATACACCTCGACTAGGCTCAATTTTTCAAATAAAAAGACAGTAAAATTACCTCGCACCAACTGCCATCAAAATGAACATACGCTTTATGCTTTTCCCTTTCAATCCATTCTAAAAAAAGCAAAACCAAAATTAAAACCAAGTCCCGGCGTTCTTAAGACTATTGGACAACAAAGAGACTTAAAATGTTCCACAGACATTTTGATAAGAGCTTAGATGGGCGTTTCTGACAGCTTCAGTGATGTGATATGCACTATACAGATGAGTGGCTCTGGTTTTGGCTGGGCCGCGCTGAGGTGGGTCGGTGGTGGGGGTGGTTGAGGTGGGAGTGGCTGTGGTTACGGCATGGGGAGGGGTGAGGTGAGGTAAGGGGAAGAGAGGTTGGAACGGGTGGGATGGAGAAGAGTGGGCAGGTGAGGGCTGGGTTGTGGTGGGTTGGTCGGTGGTGGGTGTGGTTCCGGTGGGGTTGGTTGCGCTCCTTCTTGGTGAGCAGGTAACACTGGAAGGGGAGGTGTGGGTTAGGGTGGGCTTGGGTTGGGTGGGGAGGGGTGGGGAGGGGTGGGCTAGGGTGAGCTGTGGTGGGGGTTGGTTGCGGTGGCTATGGTTGCCGGCGCTCCCTCTTGGTGAGCAGGTAACACTGGATGGTCCTCAGGCGGTCTTTGGCAGGAGCAAACTCGGGCTGCAGTTTCAGTGTGGACTCATACCAGCGCATGGCCTTCTCAAACTCCTCCTGCACAGACACGCACACAAATACATGAAACACACACACAGGGGCAGAAGATAACCACACGTTAGGTTAGATAAAATATTAAAGAGAAACTAAACACTCTTCTGAAGCTTTATCCCGCCCCTAAGCAAAATCTGAAAAATCCTCCAGAGTGAGCAGTGCCCAGTAGGTTGGGGGGAGCAGGTGTGGGGTGGCCTCTGGAGTGATGATTAACAGCCGACTGACAGTCGCAACAGTCCAACATGGCACGGACCGTTGCGCTCTGGACTTTGAAACAGAGAGGACATTTGTGCTTGGATCACACCATTTCCCTTTTCTTGAGACATGGTGGGACATTAGCGCCCGTAGACGCCAGTGGCTGTGCTCGTCACGTAATTACCTACATCTGACTCGTTGGTGGCTGTTAGTCCAACCCAAAAATTCAAATATACTGGTCATAGTTGAGCCTAAAGAGGTTGTTACAGACACGGCTTTGACCATGATTTTTAACAAATATGCACTAAAATGCAAAAATATGGCCAGGGTCTCATATATATTTCTATTTTAGACCCATTTACACAGCTAATCAGTAGAAAAGTGTGGTTTTATAGCTCAAAAATACCTAGACAAACATTCTTGCTTCTCTACAGATCTGACCTGTAACTTGGTCTGTTTTTGTCTCCATGAAGATAGAAAGGTTTAATAGCATACTAGAGAAACATTCCAGACAAAGCAATAATACCTTCATGAAAAAAAGCATTTGATGGCCCCTTCATATTGTTTACACAGTGTATTTTACTAACAATAAGCCTCAGTCTCGAAATTCTTCCACTTTAAGACCACAAGAGTTGTTCATCCCTACAGACCACCAGAGGGCAATGCTGAACGCTCTTAATGATGACCAGAATCACCCCCCATAATGGACAAATCACTACACGAGAGGACGTTACCATTGCTATGTAGACGTTGGCGAGGGTGAAGTGGTTGACGACAAAGTGTGGGGCGATCTCCACGGCCATACGAGCCACGGTCAGAGCGTCCTCCCACAGACGAGCGTTTTGGAAGATGTTGGCTAGGCTGATCAGAGGCACGTCCTGGGACACACGGTAAGAGACACAGGCATTCAGTCACATATGAGAAATGTGTATTGAAACATTTTAAATAGACAATAGTAGTTTGTTATATTTTTCTTAAAGGTCCTATATTATACAAATACAATACACGTTTGCTTTAGATCACATATTGTGCATAACCTTTTAAATAGTTAAAATGTACAACACCCGTGGATCATCATGTTATTATTTGCACACTTTAAATCACAACATAAATATATATAAATAAAATTATTTCAATAAAGGAATAGTATGCAGTATTAGTATTGAGAAAGATGCACTGCCCTATGGGAGCTGATGTCACGGTAAACATTACGAACTGAGTCGGTATTATGGATTTGTTGGGGCCGATGTGTACATGGTTCATATTGCGCACGCCACAGAAGAGTGCCCTCTGCAGACAGACGCACAGGTGTCTGTGCAGACACCTGCCCCAGGACCTCTGTGGTGCTGCAAATATATGTGAATGTTCTTCTGTCGGTTCTTTTCCACCCTGTCTGAAGTGGAGATGTGGATTTATGTACTCATCCTCACTAAAGGAAAGCAGTTTGTCTATCTGCGACACACGGCAAGTATTTCATGTCTCCATTGGAATCAATGCAAACGGGCCGTGTCAGTTTGGGGCAATGCACTTATTCACGCTCAAATGAGCTGACACGCCCGCTTTGCTTCATAGATACCTTTCAGATAATCCTTGTTTGTTAGCCTGTCTACATCTCCAAAACTGAAAATACTCTCTTCCACCTTGTGATGTCATGAAGCAGTAGTCTTCAAGTTAACAGCTACATTTTAACTTTAGTTCAGTAGAGATTGACTGAAATCATCGAAATGATTTTAGTGAAGACATGGACTTTAAAACACAGTGGAGCACTTCCTGTATTACTACATAACATCACAAGGTGGAACAGAGTGTTTTCTGTTTGAGAGAAGAACTCCTAAATAAATCTGAACATGAATCAGAAAATAGTGCAATATGGGACCTTTAAACAACAGTAAACAGCTGGCAGGATATTTGCCAGTGAAATAGGCTGTAATCTTGGAACAGATGGGAGTGTTAGCCATGGTAAATAGAAGCATATAGTATGAGTACCTTCATGTGGTGGGGGGCGTAGTTGAGGGCTTGGCGTAGACAGTCTATGGCTCTTTTGCCTTGACCTTTGACCCTCCAGTACAGAGCAGCCATACTGGACAGCACCCACGACGTCTGGTTCTACACAGGGAAAGCCATACACAAGTTCAACAGCATTAGATGAGACTCAAGGGATCAAACAACATGAAGTATTTTAAAATTAAGCTCTATGTTGTTCCTAGCCTTCCTACCTATGCCCAAACTAAACAAGTATCTATGGTGTGACGCAATTTGACATTTTAACTTTTTCATTCTCATAATTGGAGATAGACGGTAGAGAACTCCATGGTTGATCAGTGATTTCCGGAGTATGTTGAAGTTAAAGTACGTAGTTAAACCACTGTCAGTGGATTAGTTGTTCATAGTGATAATTAGGAGACCGGATTACAATTCTGGCTCTGCAACATTGCAATACTTATATTTGTATGCATCTGTGTGGGGCCTCACCTTTTCCAGGACTTTAGCGATGCGTGTGCCCACCTGCTCAAAGGACTGAGGGGGGAACTTATCTTTACCCAAGTTCTGCAGCACCTGTACAAGTATACAACACAGTCAGACCGGCAAAGATGGATGGACTGTTCTAAATATAAACAGTCAATATTTTTGTTTTGAATTGATTCTTGATTTAGAAAACCACAAAAAGCTAAAAAGACTGTTGATTAAAATATTAAAAGAATCTTTAAATTGTATAGCTGTTTACTTTTATGCAATACTTGAACCTCACCAAAGATATTTGCTGGCACAATAATGCCTTTCTGATGATTAGCAAACAATATGAACTATTATTAATTATAACTATTATGGTTTATTATATTTTAATCCACCTCTATTTGCATAAGTAGTAAAAAACAATTTCCTGAATAAAGTTGCATAAAAAATGCTTTAAAGACCTTTAAACACCAAGAGTTTGAGTCTGCTTTATAGTTTATCTATGACAGGGCCATTATTGATCTAAAATGACTAAAAGAAACAAGTCCGCAGACTTCCATGTTTTTGATAACTGCGGTGCACAATGGGAGCTGATGTCACCGTAAATGTCATGTCAACAAAGAGCTGTGCAGCTGTCGGCACCTCCAATGGATATGCAGACCACACAAGAAAGCAGCAGATTTATTTTTTTCATTTGTACCACATGATGACTACATGATGCTTCTGAATTCTGCATGTATCACTGATGAAGAAAATAAAACTGAAGTACAACGTAAGTACAGAGCCGTAGGAAAATGAGAGATCAGAGCAATGACATCTTGAATACAGGAGAATCAAGATTATTCAAGCATACACGAACACTTAAATACAACTTTAACTGGGTAAATGAAAAGAGTAAACAACTATAACATGGTTAAAAGCTCTGAAAAGTCAATTTTGCATAATAGGCTTGCTTTAACACTAAGAGGATTTTGCAGTTCGTGTACAAAAACGTTAAAAAGCTTCATGTTTATAGTCAAGTAGCACTAGTAATTTGCAACATATTCAGTTAAAATCAACTTAATTTCCCAAAGTCATGAAATCTTAACTTGATAACATGTTTGTGTGAGTGCTAATTGGTCTAACTGTTGGTTTCTCAGACTGAAGTGTGACAGTGAATGGGCTTTTGACAGTCAGTGTGGAGCATCACAGCTGCACTCACACGAGGAGAGGGGAGGCTGCTCTTCTCTGCTGCTTCAGTCAGACACATGGGGGAAGTCTGTTATTACCAGATTTCTTAAGTGTTTAAATATTTCTGATGTTATGGGTTTGTTTCTGATATGTTGTGGTTTGCTAGAGAAGAGTTTTAACTTGAGAACTACTTTGTGTGATTTAGGGTGCTCAAAAAACCTCAAACAAGCCACAAATATTGAAAGGATAAATGATTACACAGAATAGAACCAGTATATAGTACTGGTTCTGCATCTTATTTGAATTTAAAGTTGAAGTGTATTTTTTATTATCAATAAATTTCGTTAATATCCACAGATTGTTTGTTTTGTGAGAACACTAGTTTAATTAAATATATGACACAGCATGATATAAAATATTTACATATATCAGTTTAATTCTAAAAGCTGCAGGGTAGTAGTCAGATTTCTTAGGTCCTTATTTTGGGGGGATTTGTTTGGGCTAGTTTTCCATAGTAAATCTAGTAAACCTGACCTATTTGATAACTAAATCAAGGCAGTGTGCTGAAACTATCTAACAAAATGTTCTATCATTTGAATTGTCTATTACATTTTATATTAGCAATAAGATTTTTGTGCATGGTACTAGAACTACCATATTTTTTGGACTATAAATCACACTTTTTTCATGGTTTGGGTGGTCCTGCGACTTATATATTAAAATTTTCAGACTGATAGCCACGAGAAGGCGCTCTAGGCTTGTGTGTCAGTATCTAGTACTACTATTACTCCTGTATCACTGTCACATCACACTCTACTGCGCATGTGTCCTGTAGAAAAAGCCACTGTCTTGCTGCAAATAGTGAAATATGCAGCCGAAAACGGTAATCGAGCAGCAGAGAGAAAGTTTGGAGTGAGCGAGAAACTTGTGATTGAGTAGCAGAAAGCAGGGGTGGAGAATACAGCTTCACGGTAACCGGGCGGGTGCGCCATGAAACTTTCTTGGAAGTCACTGGATGAATCGACAAAGCCTGAGTTTCAATGACAACCAAAACCATCCTGTTGGACGACAGCTACGCAGAAGAGGAAGCGATGCTCCGTTTACATCATGGATCTATGGTTTATCTCCAGAGGTTGCACAGAAGTGACACCGAGAATGAAGAATTCGATGGATTTAGTGATTTGGAGTGAGATGGTGAGTTTGGTAAACTTATGTTATGTTGTCTATGCTATAATTATCTGAATAACTGTTAATATGTTACATTAACATATTGACGCTTATTCAGTCTGTTGTTCTCTATTCTGTTGTTATTAAAATAATTTGCCTTTCAAGATGAAATGTCACTTCCTGGTCTCTGATTTTATGAAATACATTTCCCCAAAAAGCGTGACTTATACTCCAGTGTGACTTATATATTTTTTTGGCATTTTTTGGTGGTGCCTTATACTCTGGAGCGACTTATAGTCCGGAAAATACGGTACTATTTTTTGCTCATTTGGAGAAAAATAAACTTCTATAATAATACAATTGGAGTATTCACAGTATCATTTCAAACTATAACATCATAATTTTAAACAATATTTTTCATAACTATAAAGATTAAAACATGTATTTATTCTTAAAAGTGTTATAGGTGTTCATACGCACCTCTCGTAGTTGACTCTCCCCGGTGTAGTGAATAGCAGCGCGGTTGGCCACTCCACCCAAGTGGTCCAGGGTGTGCATGCTGGCTGCCAGGTTAGCGTTGCAGAGGGGCTCTGCAGCGGGCTCCTGGAGGGGGGTGGCAAAGTCTATGTGCTCCGTGATACTGGGGAGAGGGGAAATGAGATGGAAATTTAAAACAAGTTAAACAATATGATTCACAAGGACTGCTCTATGTAACTTTTGTAGTGCAGTGTCTGCCACATGTTTGTTTTATGCAGATGTTAATGTTTTGTGACGAAAACGTTACATACAGCACCTTTTTTAACATTTTCAGCAATATTTTGCCGAAAATTTTATATTTATTTACTAAATTGCCTGAAAGCTTTTAAAAACAAGTAAAATTTATAATTTAATAGGTCATAGGACTCACTCTATATTTTTGGCCGACACTGCGAGCCAGGTGCTTGCTACAGTGGTGAGGTCCACTCTGCGGGTCCTCTGGCACTCCTCTGGACCAGGCCAGCCCAGACTGTGGTAGTCCCTCCAGCGTCCTGCACAACACAGCCTCTATCAGTATCATTTCTGTTGTGAGCAATGTAGTTTAGATAGAGAGTGCAGTCACCTGAGGGTCCAGGGGAGGGGATGGTGGGTCCGCTAATCTCTAAAACAGACTGTCCAGGGACAGCCTCTGAAGTGGGCCCCTCGTCAAAGCCCCCCACCACCTCTGACCCTTCGGCCTTGGCTTTCTTCACTCGCTTTACCTGGAAGGTGATCTGAAACACAGCCATCACACATAAGCAGACTAATATACCAGATTAGCCCCCTTCAGGTTGGGAACCATTGGCCTACCATGTCTAGCTGTAACATCTCTGTAAATGAAATTATGAAACTCAGCTGGACTGCCCTGGTGTTATGTAACCATATAGCATTTTATCTTTTAAAGATAAGGTGCACTTGGGGTAATTTTGTCCTCTATTTTTGACCCATCCTTCAATGCCTCTGGGGTATCTCCTCAGGAGCAGTGAGCTGGCACCCATCTCTGTGAGTGTGTTGCTTGGCTTGGACTACCTTATCTGGAGGATTGTAACTATGATGCATATTTTGAGTTGATGGAGGAAACTGGTCTGGGTGGGCCCAGAGGAAACCCCCCAGACACAGGGAAAAACAAGCGAATCCTGCACAGAAAGACCCAGGCAGCCCAGGCAGCCCAGGAAATATCCTTCACTTTTGCAAGGCTGGTTTTCCACATGACAGCAATGACAATACATATTTGATCATCACAGGGTTTAATAAGGTAAACATATTATTTAGATCTGCTATGACCGTTGCACTCACCCACTCCGCCCCCTCGTCGTCCTCGCAGTTGCCAAAGCAGGGTCCCCCCGAGGCCCTGGAGCCCACCACCCTCTCGTTCTTCAGCACCCGGATGCCCCGCAGGTCGCTCCGTTTACCGCCCACGTCCAGAGCCCCCTCGAAGGCCCCCATCAACTCCTCCTTCAACTGCCACTCCTCCTCCCCCTCTGAGACTCCGCCCATCGGCACCGCCCCCAACCCAGGGGAGGGCTGCTGCTGCGGTGGCCCCACCTCTTCTGAGCCATTACTGTCCACGATGACTTCTGTACAGCAGGGAAAGGACGACGGATAAAAAGAAGTCAGTCAACCATGTGTTAGGTAACTGATTAGCAAAAAGTATGCAGAGTATAAAATGCCGTTTATAATGTGTAAGATTTGTTCAAGGTTTTTACATGTTGAGTTGTTTTATTTTCAGAAATAACCTATCAGAAAATCCACAAATGTTGGACCTTATCACTATTTGTTTGAGATTCACAAACTCATATCTCTGGGATTGAATTATGCCGCCTGTTTTAGAGCCTTTGGGATGTAGACTTACTTTCAAAAAGCAGAGAGTCTTCCAGGTCGGCAGTGGTCTGCGTGTCTGGTCTCTCCTCACTGGACTCCCACTCCTCCAGGTGGATGCCCAGGTCCTCCTCCGCTAGGCACACCCCTCCCTCTGCGAGAGAGAACCAACAAATCAACATTTACCTTAAAGTGCCTATGACAGGTTGGACTACTCATTTTACTAAAACACACTTAAGGCCATTATACTGAAGATTTTGCTAAAAATTGTATACCATATTTTCTGCACTATAGGGCGCGCTCTTAAGCCTCCAACCCCATCAAAAAAAAACTGCACGCCCCCCAATCCAGAGCGCTCTATACACGAATCCACTCGGGTGTCCCAGCACGACTTCAGTAAACTATAAAGCCGCACCACCCACAGCGCACGTAAACACGCACAGAGCAGACAGCGACCGCACAGAGAAAAACACCCACAGCCACACTCATCACTCCACGCAAACGAGGAATGGAACGGAGGAATGAACTGAAAAAGCGAATGCAATGTGCCGCTTTTAGCCACAACTGAACAACTGAGTCACTGCGAACACGCCGACAATCCAACGGTCCCAGACAGCACCCTCCCTACACGCCACAACTGAACAAAGCCCAGAGTCACCGTGAACGCGCCAAACAAAGTCCCACTGACCCATCTAACCGTTGTGTTTCGTTTAAAGTCCGGTGTGGTTTATTTGTGAAAAAAGTTCGAAAATAGGCCATTCAGTGACAGTGTGCCTTATAATGCAAAGCGCCCTATAGTGCGGAAAATACGGTAATTCTTTTCCCACTTTCCCTCATTTTTTTAGGTTTAAAATTTTGCTTCCTGGTTGGAAATCATGAAATCACACCAGGGAATTCCACAGCTGTTATCTAATAATCTGCAGATTGTAAATATTTGGGGTTATGTTTATGTCTTTTTCACTGTTAATCACTGTTTAATAACCCCTTTTTACCTCTTAAAATCATAAAATCTTAAAAGCATAAAATCTTAAACAATATATTGTGTACATAAAGTAATCGTTCATGTCAAAGAATAACTTTTGAAAACTCTAAACATGAAAAAAATAAATGCTGTTGAAGTGTCCAGCTGCATGTTGGCTGTGTAGTGCTGGTGGGAGACAGTGCACTCAGAATAGTCCATAGCAGCAATATTTAGCTTTGAGGAGAAAAATAAACTCAGCTAAAACGGGGCACTACTATTTGTTCCAATATGAATTATTGAAGGGGCAATATTTCTCCACTTCCAAGCATTTTATTTCTGTGACAAATAAATAGAAAGGTTTCAGCAGCACAGGGCTTTTGTAACACTACACACTGTTCAGAAGCTTTTAAAAGTTACATGTATCAACAGCTGCGATGTATTTAAAATGTACTGAGTTAGGCAAAATCATAAGCTTTTAAATTAGGTATTACACATGAAATCTACAGGGTAAACACAATATAGTTTTTAGTAACTTGAAGTTGGAGTTGCATTTTAGATTTTATGCTATCACTGGGAGCTTGGTTTAAAGTATGTGGAATGCTGCTTCATTTCCTTTCCTCATCAAAAACATCCTTGGAGTTGTGTTTCATTTTATTCACACATGTTTAACACACAAATCCTGCATATTTAAGCTGAGTTCTTCTCTCAAACAAAACGTTCCATCTTCATGTCGTGCCTATACCTTCATTAGAACAATTTGGATAATTGCAGCCCTGGAATTGCTTGTCAATCTTTACTGAACAAAAGGTAAAAGAAGCTGTTAACTTGAAAACTACCCACTACATGACATCACAAGGTGGAACATAGCATTGTTAGCTTTGGAGATGTACACAGACTAACAGTAAAGGATTACTCAAACATGTGTGAATGAAAAAAAAAAACACAAGTCCAGGTATGTTTTTGAGGAGGTAATAACATTATAACATGGCTTAAAGTTCACATGAGTTAATTCTGTGTAATATGGGCCCTTTACGGTTAAAGTTAAGGACCGTTCTCTTCGAGGTAGTGCTGCAGGTACTCACGAGAGCAGGACTGGCGGTGTGATAGGTTGTAGAGGAAAGGGTAGAACTGCAGACAGCGCAGCAGAGGCAGACTGGACACACACTGCCCACACGAGGAAAACGAGGAGAGGGAGGAGCCTGAGGTAGAGGAGCCAGAGGAGAGGGCCATGTCCAGGGCCGAAGCGGAACAGCTCCAGAGCCCCCGTGATGTTCCCCTGGGAGACATGTACCATCACCATGCTCAGGAGGGAGTGGGGCTGTCACACAAAACACACAAGTTAATTTGCTTTATCGAGATGAATCTGAGAGGCAACTTTATAAAATACAGTGACAATTTCAAACATTAGGAAAAAAATAAATAAAATTCAAATGTATTGATTAAAACCACATCTTTTTAATGCCTTTTCAAATGTTAAAAGTTTCTAAGTGTGTACATCTGCTGTACAGGCAGTACAAACTGAAACTGAAAAAATACTGTTTAAAGAGGACGTACAGTAATATGCAAAACTGACTTTTTGCATGACAGACTAACCTGGGCACTATTCAAATCCTCCTTATGTTTAGCTGTACAAGCCTGTACGAAGTTGTCCACAGGGCTACTTTTAAAAATGAAACTGAAACTAAACATGTTTATAAGTTTTTTCAGCAAATATAGTATTTCCGAAACAATGGCCACAACTTGATCAATATGGACAAGCTACACCTCTTTTAACCTGTTACCACCCACCTCATTTTGGTGTGTGCACAATAGCACTACATACCCAAATGCCATAGCTTATTAAAAGAAAACCTTAGAACCCACATGCTTGTGTGAGGCACCATTTTAAAGCTTAGGCCTTCTAGTTTCTGTAGATATGTATATGAAGACTGTGAGTGCTGCCTAACCTACAGTAGTCAATTAAAAATGAAAAAAAAAAGTATTTTTTTGCTTCGAAAAAAAAAATTAAAAAAATAAAGGCCTTAGCTTGGGCATACTTCATGCTAGGCATTTGTGACTCACTGCACTCATTGTTCAAGTTGTTGGCAACAACTGTGTAGAATTTCAGATCTCTAGGACAAAGGGTTTTGATGCTGTGAGCCTTTGTGTATACAAAATGACAATTCGGCACAAGATTGCCAAATTTGTGCCAAAATAATAATAATAAAATAATAATAATAATTGTTATTATTATAATACTAATTCTTCTGAGCTTTAGGCATGTTTTCTCAAGAAAAAAAACTAAAAGTAGCCAAAATTGTCTTCCAAGTGGCAGTTCTGCACTCAATGGCACCTCCCACACTGCTCTCTGTGTCTCACTCATGCTGCGCTTATAAACACAGCTCCCGTTTCCAATACTATCTGAATGTCCCACCCACCGTTTGAAAGCTCTGGTGATAGGCTAAAACAATATGTCAATCACTTTCTGGAAGATCCAATGACTGAAGAGATTTCCCGTAAACAAACTGATGACGCGTGCGTAAAGCCAGGAAGTACGTGGGTGCGTTAGCTTCTTCAGCGGCTTGTCCCACCTAAACCCCGGCACCGACAACAGCGGGGAGGGTCTCATTTTGAAGCTAAGAGTGTGAGGAAAACAAGCGTACCCAAGAGCGGGAGAGAAAGGGAAGTCAGAGCGGGAGAAGAGGCGGAGAAGAGACATAATATTTTCATTCACGGATTCATCCACTCATACGGACGACGATTTTCTGGATTATTTACCCACATGGAATTATTTTTTGGAAAAACAACTTGATATTCTTTTTCTGTGGATTATTACGGATTTATTGAGTACAACTTTTCATGGATTGAACGCGTTTTGGACCGACAGAACCGGCTCAAATGTAAGAAACGCGTATCTTATTCTTTGATTATGATGTGAATTTTTAAGTTATAGCGTTTTGGGCTCGTTGTATGGCATAAAATGAATGATATGGTTGTTTTATTGAGAAATTAAGCTTTCAAACGATGTATGGCATGCCAGTAGTGAAAACAATAATGAAGGTGAAAATACAGAGTGAAATTTTTTTTTTGGAAAATCGTCCGCCGGCGGGCGGGTGGATGGTAAGTGGTTTTTAAAAGCTCTGAATCCACTCTAGTTTTGTCGCCATATTTGTCCGTCAGTTGCAATAAGTCACCATGCACGCACAAAGAACCACCAGCATCACTAAACTAAGCCACATTAGCTTGCCGTTGCAAACACTGCAAGCACTGTGCTGATATCCTTTGTGAACCTTTAAGAAGTCTAAATATTTTCATAGTTCATGTGACAGTCACATATGTTAAAGTACAGTTAAAGTACTTCTTTATACTCCTCTCCTCACTGCTTAGAGTCACTGCTCAGAGTCACTGCTCAGAGTCACTGCTCAGAGTCACTGCTCAGCTCAAAGGCGAGTTGTAAGCATCAAATAAGACAAAGCGCAGTTATACTAGTACCAGCCCTTGGTATCGGCTGTATGTTCATGAGTACAAGCACTGGCACTGGTATTGGGGCTATATCTTGATACTGGTATCTGTGCACCCCAAATAATAATATTACAACTACATCCTTTCCCAGCTTCCCTACATCCCAAGACCAAAGTGAGACATACCTCGGAGGCATTTAGAGCCAGGGACTGCTCCAGGAGTGAGTGTGCGTTGGAGGTGAGGCCGTGGTGGAGCAGCAGGTTAGCCGCGCTGGTCAGGCCCAGGGAGCGGTGAGCCGGGGGTGCAGAACTAAGCACCTTCCTCAGGCACTGAAGGGCCCTGCTGCCGTTCCCTTTAGCACGCCAAAACAAAGCCGCCTCATTCAGGAGCAGCCAGCGTGGGACTGAAGACTGGGGATGAGAGGAAAAACAAGTTATATACCACTAGTCTAAAGGGGGTAAAAAAGTAGTGCTAAAAGTATGTCAAAAAAGTAAAGATTAATCAGTGGTACAACTTATCACGATTAGTGGAACAAGATAGGCCATCTACAAAATAATGTTGAAACTGATGTTATGAATATATTAAAATAGAATAAAGTAAATATCAGCCATTCTTAAAAAAAAAAAATAATACAAAAAAACCTTCTGCAGTTTTTGATAAATATTATAATTTTACAAAATAGTACTTTTTGACATTTTGACATCCCTGAATATAAAATGTATAAATAACAGTATAACAGTGTGCTGGGTTAAATAAATAAAATTGAAAGTACTTTTACTTCTTTTAAAGCTTGGGCGATTCTGTTGCCGACCTGCTCCAGAGTCCAACCTCCACTGCGCAGCTGTAATATCTGCAAGTAACAAGAGGAAGAGAAACATTTGCATTTCATTACACTTACTTAGTATTTCAAGTTTTATGACTTAAAAAATTTACATATACAACATATTAAAATGTAAATATATAGTATAGTAAAACCATTACATGTGTCATACAGGTGTCAGGTTTAATCATTTCATTGATATGTGATTATTCAGGTCCAAATATATTCATAAGAATGAAATAATACAAACACATACAGTTTGAAACTAAATTAAATAATCTTAATTATAATCACTCTAAATAAGTAAACCTAAAACAAAAATGCTTTTTATCTGGTTGTTTAGGTCACAACTGCTTTATTATTCCAAATGTTTGATTTCATTAAGTTGTTAAAAAAAAACTAAATACATGAGTGTCAATTGAATAAAAGTTTTGTTTAGATGAGTTTGAATGAGTAGTGGATCATGGAAGTTTGAATGAAAGTGAATCTAGAATTTTATTACACTTTAGTCATGATGACAAATATAAAATTTCACAATAATTGTACATTTTGATTTTGTGACATCCTTACTGTGTACATCTGAACACATGTTACCTGTGCAGCATAGGGATCTGGCAGCTGGTTCTCCTCCAGGGGCCAGTCCAGAGAGGCAGGGAGGGGAGCGGGGTATGGCTGGAACACAGGTCCACAGTCTGGGACAGCGGAGCTCTGACTGGTGCTGTCTTCATACAGCACACTGGCCACAGGGCTATGGAAGCATCACAGACACAATGAGTTTCACTGAAAATGTTGAAAATGTGGAATAGTAGGAATACAGGAGGAGTGGAACCTGAGGCCATATGTTTCAGGAGGAATGTAAAATGTGGGCAGTTCTCCAGCAGGGGGCACACTTGGGTATTTAGTGGCACAGTCTGATCTCTGTGGCCACAGTGTTTTCTGACTGTCCTGCTTGAGAAAAAAAAAGATTACAACATTAACTCAGTCCTTATTAATTCTCAAATATAAAATCATGCATTCTAATGGGACACTTTGTTATACCTGTGGGTGAGGGTGATTGCCCCACAGAGCAGCCGCTGGGTCCTGCTCTTTTGTGACAGAGCGATGTAACCACGGAGACGGAGAGCTCTGGTTTGAGGTGTGGTCAGACACTAGAGCCACACTGGAGGCCACAGACACCTCCTCCCCAAACTGAAACACACAACAAGGCACATCCATGTCTGTCATCACAGTAAAATTAGAAAAGCTAATAAATATTTTTTAATATCTGACAAAAACTAAGAAGTAAAATGTAAGAAACATAATACAATGCAAGCATTATTTTTTCATTGAGTCGACTACTCAAATGACTATTTCTACTGTACACTGTGATTTTCAAAAACATTCTTTAAGCAAATAAAGATTCAAATATCATGATTAAAGGCTTCTAAATATAGAATATACATATAAAATATTGACTTTGATCATTTATTCATAGTTGAATAGTCACAATTAATAAATGCAGCCCTATTGTTAAGTCGTTGACTCTTCGCACTCATTGTGGAAAGAGTTTTGACACTAGATGTATATGTGTGCTCCACCCAAGCCAGTACTGATTTTGTCATATATTTTTCTTTTTTTCTAATTTGTAAATAATTTTTTGTAAAAAAAAAAAAAAAAAAAAAACTAAATAAAAATTAACATCGCCCAAGATATTACTTTCTTAGAGTCTTTTAATTAGGGATACCAAAATGTGCATGGGGGTTTGTTACTGTTCTGCTTGATAACCTCATATCCACTCAAACAGATAACTGATTACAAACTTTTATATAGTACAGTTACTCCTGGCTCCTCTAACCCCTGTGATGCCAGTGCTGTTTGTAAAGGACTCACTTGAACATAGTGCACATGTTCAAACAGGTCTCCTCTGTGGTAGCGCACAGGCAGGTCAAAGGGACAGTGGAGACTGCGCTGCTGTTGGCCCAGACGACACATCTGATGATTTCCTAAACATACACATTATATTAAATACACTTAGCATGTTTCAAGTGAGCATAAGGTCATTTAAAAAGTGTGTATGATTCATATCTTTGAACCTTTAGAATATGATTACATTATTTGAGTATCCCCTTACCAAGTTGGGCTTCCTTGGCCATCTGAGTCTCATGGATAATATTCCTCAGGATCTGTTCCTCCTGAAGCAGCTTGTGTTTATCTAGCGCCTCCTGCTGGCGGAGGTAATGGTCATGTTGCTTCTGGTATTCTTTCAACTCATTTAGTGTTCGTTGCAGAGATCTATTAACACAGAAAACATGTAATGATTCAAATCCAAAATGCGCAAATCCATCTAATTTCATTTAGTGGGAATTAAATAACAGAAATTAGCAGTTTAATGTGAACAAGTCCCACAAAGAAATGTTGGTATAATAATAATGGGCCCTACAAAGTTGACATTTTTGACATTGTTCATGATTAGTAGTGTGTGTGATGTAGTACCGGTGCTGAGCCTCTAGGCGCTGCTCGAGCTTCTGCTGACAGAGCACTGCATGCTTCCTCCTGATGGCAGGCTCAAAGTCGGGCAGGGTCTGCAGCGCCTGCTCATAACACAGCACCGAATGGTTATACTCCCCCAGCATCTGAGAAGACAGGACAAACAAGAGTCAATACAGAATCACACAAATACTACAACTACAAAATGTTGTACTAGGTGCATTTATTAGGGCTGCAACCATTAGTCAGGATTATTTTGAGGAGCTAACTAATAATTGTAGTCCTATTTTAAAAATGTTGACTATTGATACTTTGCAGCTGATGTCACCAACATTGATATCAACACGGGGGTGTGATGCTAACTGTAAGCACTGCTCTGTCTGAGGCTTGTTAGACTTTAATCTGAGTTTTAACACAGTCAGACCCAAAAGAACTGACTTACTTAGAACTACAACTAAACACATCCCTCTCAAATAACGCACTGAGTGGCAAAAAAAAAAAAAAAAAAAAAAAAAAGAAAGAAACACATAACACATACATCAACAGTTCTCAATAAATAAATAAATAAATAAATAAAATAGAAAAAAAAAAAATCATATTCACATTTCATATTCATCTGTGCTGAACTTTGGTGTTTAAATTAATATACAGGGAAAATACTTAAGCCCTGGAGTGTTTGATTTTCAATTTTTTTGTTTTGATCAAACATATCATATCTTTGCTTGCCATTCAGGACTTCCGTACATTACACTTTTCCAGTTAGTCACTGTCACCTTTTTTGAAAAAATGAAAAACATATTTTTTGTCACTCATTTCAGAAAGTCAAACTCATATATTATATAGACATGTGTCTATGTGTCCTTTTCATGATATTAAACTTTAAACAATATTCATAAATAAAACTTCAGTCACCATATTTCAACCTTCTTTTGAATAAAATGTAAATCTCAAAGTGCAATAGGACTAATGATTGACTAGTTGACTACTAAAAGCCGTCATCATTATTTGCAGCCCTTATGTTTATTACGTGGAGGAAATAAAGCTATTGTAGCAGTTAACTGACACTACTGATAAGTTATATGGAAATGATAGGCAAAAGGACCTTTATACAAGTCTATGGAAGACTCACTTTTACAAACTATATACAAACTCATGATCAACAAATGTTGAACCTCATAATTATTTGTTAGGGCTCGGCTCCACAAACAAAACTATATTAATCATGGCTTAAAATCTTTTCAACTGACAACAATCACGTATTTAGGTTTGAATAATGGCACTAATTTTTAAAGCTATTGTGAAAAAAAAATAATTGGCTCTGTGCATAGCCACACCTTAGCTGGCTCACTGTGTCTCAGTCACTTTTATGACAATCATAAAATATAAAAAATAAACAACCTGTCAAAATTCAAATTAATTAAAGTTAAGACCGCCAGATTGTTTTTATGTGTAAAATATATTTTTTTAAACTATTATTATTACACAAATCTCTGTTTCTAAACAAAAAAGTGTCCTCTGCTGAAGTATTACTTTTATTTGTGTACTTTTAACACGTTGTCAGTGACATTTACCCTGAGTTCCTTGTTCATTGCTTTATCTATAAATATTTATTAGTTCTAGCATGACTCAGCCAAAACCTCATTGATACACAAGTAGTGACGTCAGGCGCTCTTGTGCACAGAGACAATTACACTTTAACTAAACTTGAAAATTACACCACAGAATTCTGAACCTATCCTCCTGCCCACTTTTAAAATATAGGTGTTCAAGAACATCAGCCATTTAGCCCTACTACCAGCACAAACAACCAAACAGTGTATGGGACAGTAAGGGACTGACAGCGTAGATGTTGCCCAGCGTGTAGTGGCTGGTGAAGAGGTCAGAGGTCAGGTCGAGCGCTGCGTGTGCTAGGATGGCGGCGTCGGCAGAGTAGTGGGCGCGGTGCAGGATGTTCGCCATGTTAACCAGAGCTACATCCTTGTGCTGTCTGCAGAGAGCAAACAGAGGCAGGTAAACATTACTGAGCACAGGTCTACATGGAAAAGGGTTAGAAGACTTTTCACATAGACAATTCAACAAAAGGGATGGGAATTGAGAACCGGTTCTGCTTGAGAACCTAATTCATCAGAATTGTCTGCCTTCTCACGGAAAGGGCCTGTACCTGATTTTACTCTTGTCAACATACATGTTCTTTGTTTTTCATTGTTTTGTAAAAGCAGCTAAATAAGAAAAACTATCATACACAATCTATGAAATTTCAATAGTATTTTCCTAGTTTACTAAAATAAAAAAATAAAAATAAAAAAAGACTAGGAATAATAGACAATGCTAGCACCATATACACAGTATAGCAGAAAGGTTGAACCAAAGATGTTCATTTCTTCTTATGTACTTCTTGGGTTCTTTTTAAAGACAACACAGTAAAGTGTATTTACCTTGTCAACCTAACCCAAGACGTTTAAGCAAAAAGGTTGATATAGTGTTTGGTACCGCTTAAACAGAGTGTTCATATATGAGATTTACACTGTAGTTTTAGCCATTTATATATCCTATAATTCTGTATATCGAGGGTACCCAAAGTGCAGATAATTTAGACCTCCTTTTGTATCTAATATGTATTTCAGTCATAAATTCAAGTCATTTCTAATTCAGATATTATAAGGTTTTAAGTGACCAATACAGAGCCTGCAGTGAGGGTTTACCTGGGAGAGAAGTGCAGAGCTCGCACCACACAGTCCACAGCCTTCTGAGGTTCATTCTTTATCCTCCAGAAGAACGACGCCATGTTGTAGAGCACCCACGAGGACGAGTTCTACAACATACACACATTCACTCACATGGAGACACAGCTGAAGGACAACTGGGACACTTTGGCTGCGTATAAGACAAAGTTATTATAAAGTTCTCTCATAGTGCTGGCTGGACTTACCCTCTGCAGCGCAAGATGGATGCGATGGCCCACCTCATTTATACTATGGCCCAACTTTTTCGATAAAGAGTGAAAAATGGGGTCATCTTTAGAAAGCAGGGGAGAGGTGAGGTTAGCCCGCTCCTGCACACCCTGGAATGAGAAAAGTATTATTAAACAGCAGGTTTAATAATACAGTATACAAACTGTAGAGGCTAATCACAGACTTTGATTGCTCCTTCTAACTAACTTAGCTTCTTCACGAAAGATAGATGACTGAGCCCGTTTTAAAACCTGATGTGGTTGCAGCATGGTAAAATAAACATCTTTTTCTTTATATTTAGGTTCAAGAACAGCATTTCTTCATGTGTAATTTACATGAGAACACAATAGGTAGGAAGTACTGAGTTCCCAAATGTTCAAATCATGTATCAAAATGTCTTTCTCTTTTTAAATCAACATATAATCATGCACATATTTTACATTGCTTTTTAAACTAAAAACAACTGAGTCTTTAATGAATTACACAAATATGTAAACTTTATGAAATGTCGCTTACACAAATGTAATGCAATGAAAATTCAGAAATCAGACCACGGCAATTGATGCCTTCCTGCTACGTACTGACCCGGAGGTGCTGGAACGCGTGGATACTGTAGGGAAGCTCGAAAGACTTTGGTGCAGTCTGGAGTTTGCAGGTCTGGAGGTAGAGCTGAGCGGGAGTCCACATAATCTTCAGGACTGAGAAGCAGAGAAGAATACAATTTGTTTATAAAATGATCAGTGGGTAGTGTTGTCACAATATAAACATTTCAAACTCGATTTCGATACTAAGGAATAGACTACATATTCAATACAGATTCAGATACCACGATGATAATTTAAAAAAAAGCTCTTTTAATACAACAGAATGTGATTTTTAACATTAAATCATAGAACTTTCTCTTATATTACCATGTAGCCTTATATCTATGTAATTCTTCAGTCATCCAGGTAGGTTCCGTAGTGGTCCATGGGTGTATACTAGTCTATGTGCTCTTATACTTGTTCTGATCCAACTCAAGATCATTCTAAAACTATTCAGGAAAGGTTCACTTCGGTCCTGTGAATGTGACTTTTTTATCATCAGTAACTGTTGAGTTTGTTTCAATACTTCAATACTAGTTTTAGAATCTCATTTTCATCACTTTTGACAACCCTACTGCAAACAATTTATGATGAACTAGTATTAGTAAAAATCATGCGGAGTCTGAACCCGCGATGACAGATAGACAATTCAGCAGCACCTTGCAGATAGCAACAGATAGACAGAGTGAGGCTGACCTGATGTGCTTGCTCTCCAGGGAGATGTAGGTCCCATCGTACAGGTCCAAGTCTCCCAGAGGGACTTTGGCCAGGACACAGTCTGCGTCCTCCTTGTAGTGTCTTTGCTCCAGCCCTGTGTCCCTGTCCTCATTTTCCTCAATGTGGATCTTCTGAGCCACCAACTGCTTCTGAACACAGGAACACAGACACACTTTTAGATTTTGTGTGTCATGTTTACAGTTAAAAAGATTAAGTGGTGGTGTGTTTAGACATATGGGTGAGATATTACAGTAGATCCTGCAGTATTAGAAATAGAATGAATGCCTTTTCATTCAAAATTATATGTATACCTCTTGTGCTGCTCAAAACCTGGAGCAAATCCACTCTACTTGCTTTTAAACAACTTTAAAACAAGATAAATTATACTGCAGTTTTAGTAGATTTTAATATTAAAGAGAAGGTATTATCAACATTTTGGATCTTTCTACCACTCTCATCAAAAATGTGACTGAAGAGGTTTCATGTCACTCATGCATGTAATTTAGCAATCTCTCTAGGGCTCTATTCAACCCCTCCTTCCAGTTTGCAGTATTCAAGAGCCTTTGTCTCCCATGTAGAAATTTTACATAAATATACAAAAGGCAGGATATGAAACTAGACACTACAACTTCACAAACCTGATGCAATGTGCAGTAGTTTCATTAACACAATGCACACTGATTGTGTTGTGATAGGACTTTGAAGGGGGAGTACAGACAGCAAAGGGAGGAGGGTCAAAAACTAAACTGAAACTTATTAAACATTTAAATACATTGTTTTTCATGAATATAGCATTTTCAAATTAAGGTAACATGGTGATTTACCGTAAATATGTGTTAGCAACTAATAGGCCCTCTTTAAATAAATACATTATTTTTAAAAGTTCTCAGTAATAGGCTCCGGTTGGGCATTTTAGCAAAAGACTGGCAGTCAATCTAAGCCACACCTACCTACACCCTCCAACTACAGCCACAATAATACATTTATACATGCAAAAGAAAGTGAAGTGTTGTCCAATGGCACAACAGCATTAAGGCCAGTCTATAGTTTTGCATCAAATCTACCTGGAAAGTGCGACACAGTGCCCTGTCACACATAAAAGCCAATCAGAGAGATTGCAGTGTTTGCCGTGCAGTGTACATGCAACTTGGCCAAAAAGTTACAACATGTCTTCTGATTAAAACTTCTGATGTAAAATAACTTGGAACAGCTAATGTTTGGCACAGAAATGTCTGCATCTAAGCCTAACATGATTGCTTATTGTCACAGTAAATAAAAATATATTTATAATTATTTTAAATTAAATAGTTTAGATTCCCACGGTGCACCTGGACTCTGCTGAGCTGTGTCAGGACGTCAGCTCTGGGGTGAGCAGGGCCTGATGCCTGACACTGGACTATAAACCAGCCTTTATGGTAGCAGGGACACTCACACAGACTTGGCTTACCTCTAGTTTTTTGAGGTAGTTGACGCGGGCCTCCTGTCTCATGAAGATCACCACATCATGAGGATGCTTTAGGTTTAAAGGGGAGTCCACCTGGAAGAACATACATTTGGTGGTCTTTTTAACCAAGAAAAGCAATGTAGCTGTTTTTTGTTAGAATCCAAAGAGTGAACGATTCAATCCAATATAATTTTTTAAGGAAGGGCTAGAGAAGAAATATTGTATTGAATTGAATCAATACAATGAAAACAATACCAGAGGGTTTTAACGATGCACTGTAGGAGGTGAAGGGTTCATCACCTGCTTGTATTCTTATAATGCTTTTGCAAAGTGTTTTTTTTTTTTTTTTTTTTTTACAATTTGGTGTATTATTTATTCACTATACACTCGCTGGTGGTGAGCTATGGTTGCCCTGGGCTAGACTGACAGAAGGGAGGCTGCCAATTGGCATCATCAACTCCTCCAACCACCATCAACACGCACACCTCACATACATACTAAGCAATGTGGGTGAAGTGTCTTGCCTATGGACACAAAAAAATGACTACAACTGTCACGCCACTGTAGCATCAGCTATTCCCTGCCCTCTCCCTTCCAAGTACTAACGAGCCCTGCTTAGCTTTTCAGAACTGACAAGATCAGGCACTGACAAATAGGTTTGGCCACTATGCACAGTGCTGCTTTGATTAAAACTCCACCTTGGTTCATTTGTGCTGACAGGGAGAAAAATGTACTTTGTGCCAGACTCAGGTGAATCACCCAGTATCCACACATATTACATCAGGTCCAAACACTTATTAATAATAATAATAATAATAAAAAATATTATTATTATTATTATTATTATTATTAAAATTATTTATTTATTTATTTTTTAACCTTTCTGCCTTCCATTCTTCTCAATTCTAAACCACTTGCTTTTTTTATTTTTATTTTTTTTACAAAATCTCATGATCGCAACCCACTTCATCAGAGATTGACCAAAGTGGCAGGCAGCAGTCAGCATGTTTACTGATAACACCTTCCCATAGAACACGGTGACATTAGTTGCATTATATCACCATAGCTAATAGACATAGTACACATAGTACACATTAAACGATCTGATTGATTACGCTGTTAATCGGAATATAACACGTATAACACGAATCACACGAACCACCACGACACTGCACAGATTAAACCACAAAACCGCATTGACAGAAGTGTGATTACAAGGGTGCTAGTTCTGGTTAGCAGCACAAATCGGGTAGCGCCAACTGCTTCGGCTGGGGCTAGCTGTCATACCTGCTGTTGGATCTTGCCGTCCTCCGTGACCACCCAGTGAGTCGTGGCCCGGGCGGAGTCCACGGCCAGGGCCCATACGAGCAGAAGGAGCCCCCATCGCAGCGGGGATCTGGGGGTAGAGGCGGTAGAACAGGGCACAGAGTCAGGAGAGGTTTTCCTGAGCTCCGCCGCCATCTTTGTTTGAGTATTGCTGTAAACGTCACCCACGCCCTCCAGACGCACGAGGGCGCGCCAGGCAGGTCAGAAGAAATAAAATAAAAATACTTTTTTTTTTTTTAATAATCTCCATTAAGTAGGCTTCTGACAACATGTTTATTTAACATAATTAATAAATAAGACATAAAACTTGGAAACAGAAGCAATTCTTTAAGGTGCACTTCAGATTTGTTCAGAGAAACTGTACTCTGGTGCTACAGAAGTTGTTCACCACTACTGAGTGTGACTGGATGTCCTATTCTGAACAATTACTTGAGGTTACAATAAAGTTGTTACTCTACACTGCATTCAGGATTTGTTTCTCCCAACAAATTTATTGCTAATGCTAGAGTAATCCAATCCATTATGAGCTAATGGTGATGTTTAATGTAATTGTATCAGTTCTGCTGATATCTTGAATATTGTATTAGCACAAAGAAGCCTTATTTAAAAGTGCTATGCATGGGTGAGTATTTGCCTCAGTAAAAGTAAACTCAGTTAAATAAATGATTCAAAACCACATCTGGAGCTTCTGTCTGTCATGCTCTGAATAGACATATTCATCATCAGCACCACTTTCGTCTCTTTTTGTCCTGATTCAGCCACACGTTATGTACATTATGAATGTTTTTTGTTGTTTTTGTTGTTGTTGTTTGTTTCACCTCGTCCCACACGTGGAGCCAGAGAGGGAGGGACAGCTGCAGCTCTTTAGGCTGCTCCAAAAAACATACACACATGTTAAACACAAAGCACACTACACTGCAAAAGGAAAATGAGGACACTCACCAGGTCACGCTGGCCCCAGGAGGGCCGAGGACAGTGGCTCGTGGAGGGCTTTTGAAAACAGAAAAGGTTTCCTTGAATTTAAGACTTGAACAATCAACTATGGCACATCGCTTCATTCAGGGAAACATAAGACTTACCTGTGCACCAAGGCGAGGCGCCACAGAGGAGCTTGAGGGGGAGGAGCCAGAGGGAGAGGGCCCAGGGCTGCGGCTCACAACAGGCTGAGAAAAAAAGACCAAAAAACAAAGGCCATGACCTATTTGACATTTCATACTGCTGTGTTACTGAATATTTAAGGTTAAACTCACCGGCACATGAGCAGAAGGACGGTCCGGCAAGGCAGAGGTCTTCTTCAAATGTCTGTGGTTGATGTTGCTCTGTCTGATCATTTCTGTGTCTTCTTTGACCTGTCTGTTATCCCAAACCACCGTGCTCCTACAGTTTTCGAAGGAGACACATAAATGATAACACAGGTGCACTGTTCATGGAAATGAACATTTTGGTTGCCTCATGTTCTAATGTGAATGTGTTGAACTCTGTGACTTTGAGTGTTTTGAATGTTTCTGGATGCCATCGCTCCGATAAAGGTTAAAGTGGTTAAAGATAGGCAAAAAGCTCCGTGGAGGAATGATGACTCAGTCAGAGCACAGAAAAGGGAGTGACGGAAGGCTGAGCGGAAATGGCGCAAGTCAAACCTCCAGGTTCATTATGAGATTTACAGAGGAACAATGCATATGTACAACTACACTTTGAGTAAAACAAGAGAGAAGTATTTTTCGGACATTATGGTAATTGCAGTAACAAACTCTCGTGTCCTGTTTGCAACAGTGAACAGATTAACAAACCCTCCAGCTCCACTGCCACAAGAACTAATTTCCACATCTAAATGTAATGAGTTGCAGTTTTCTTTAATGACAAAGTTCAGGGCATCAAAATGCCATCAATTCCACAACACAAATAACAAGCATGCAGCCACAGAGACACTTAGAGCTGAATCACTTTGCTCCTGTAACTGACAAAACTGTTTTAGAGATCGTTTACCAGTCTGAGTTCATCTACTTGCTGCCTGGACATGTTACCCCACTAGATTTCTAAAGTCCATCCTCAACAGTTTACTTTCACCACTCACTCACATAGTTAACATGTCACTTCAATCTGAAACATTCCCAAATGCGTTGAAAACTGCGGTCATTAAGCCTCTCCTAAGAAGAGCAGTCTTGATGCCACAGTACTGAACAATTCCGACCCATCTCAAATCTGCCGTTTTTGGCAAAGTCCTTTGAAAAAAGCTGTTTACCAACAGCTTACGAACTTTCTCCAAATGAACAACTCCTTTGATGTTTTCCAGTCAGGTTTTAGAGCCTCCACAGCACTGAGACTGCTCTTATCAAGGTGACAAATGACATCCGCCTGAACACTGATGCAGGCAAAGTCTCAGTCTTGATCCTGTTAGATCTGAGTGCTGCTTTTGACACTGTCGATCATGGGATCCTCTTACAGAGACTAGAGGACTGGGTGGGCATCTCTGGTACTGTACTAAACTGGTTCAAGTCCTATCTAGAAGACAGGAAGTTATTTTGTTGAAATTGGAAACTGTGTCTCAGATCACATGGCCCTGACCTGTGGGGTGCCTCAGGGGTCAATCCTGGGCCCCCTGTTGTTCAATCTCTACATGCTGCCATTAGGCCAGTTAATAAGCAGCAATAACGTGTCGTACCACAATTATGCAGATGACACTCAGATCTACGTCTCTCTGGCAGCAGGAGACTATGGCCAGTGGACTCACTTGGTCACTGCATCCAACAGATCAGTGTGTGGAGCAAAACAACTTTCTCCAGCTAAACTCTGACAAGACTGAAGTCATAGTGTTTGGTCCACAGAAACCAAGGGACAGTGTCAGCAGTCACCTCCAGTCTCTCGCTCTAAAACCTTCAAATCAGGCAAGAAATCTAGGGTAATAATGGACTCAGACTTGAACTTTAACAGTCACATAAAATCAATAACATCTGCAGCCTTTTACCATCTAAAAAACATAGCAAAAATCAAAGGTTTACTGTCTAAATCAGACTTGGAGAAACTTATCCATGCGTTTGTCTCCAGTAGATTAGACTACTGTAATGGTCTGCTCACTGGTCTCTCCAAACGAGCTGTGAGACAGCTGCAGAACATCCAGAATGCTGCAGCTCGGGTCCTTACTCGAACTAGGAAGTACGAGCACATAAGTCCTGTGCTCAGGTCTCTGCACTGGCTTCCTGTGCCTCAGAGAATAGACTTTTAAAGCAGCTCTACTTGTGTACAAGTCTCTCCATGGCCGAGCACCAAAGTACATCTGTGACATGTTAGTGTCATATGAACCATCTCGCACTCTGAGGACCTCAGGGACCGGCCTCCTGCTGGTGCCCAGAGTCAGAACTAAACAAGGGGAGTCAGCGTTTCAGGTTCATGCAGCTAAAACCTGGAACAGTCTTCCTGAACATGTGAGACAGGCCTCTTCTGTGACGCTGTTTAAATCCAGACTCAAAACATTTCTGTTTAACTGTGCATATAACTGAAAGGTTTTCATTCCGCACTCTTCTCTCTTTTTTTAATTTTAATCTTCATGTTTTGATTTGTTTTTATTATGATTTTAATGTATTTCTTATTCTGTAAAGCACTTTGAATTACTTTGTGTACGAATTGTGCTATACAAATAAACTTGCCTTGCCTTGCCTTGCCTTCTGCTGCTGGCAGCCTACAAAAGTGCAATTTTGGTTAAAAGGAAGGAAAAAAGGTATAAAACATGTAAAACTCCAACAAACAATCTGAACCACCAAAAGACAGGTTTTAGTAGAGACAAGTGTGTGAGTCTTACCTGTCGAGGAGCTGCAGGTGTCCCAACGGTGGAGGACCCTGGCCTGTCCTCTCTCTGGAGCTGGAACATCAGAAACACACAGGTTAACACAACAACATTGTAACAATAGAAAAGTGCAGATGTGAAAGAGAAGGGTGGAGAGCTGCCCTCTCCGAAGGACCACCACGGCGGGCTTGCATGGTCTGAGGGGCAGGCACCACAGACCTCTTCCTCTTCCTGCTGAGAAACAACATCAAATGGAGACTCAAAGAGAGTTTTGAAATTATTAAGGTCTTCTTACAAAACCTCACTACAGGAGTTTGTGATTAGATAAACAGCAAACTAAATAGACCCCATTTGCAAGTTTTGAAAATCATGGGCTCTCAGGGTTAGTTTTCAAAATTTGAAGGCCACGATTCAGAAATGAGAGAGAAAAAAACTGAGCCCTGAGTTTCCTCCACTCTCGATCACAGTGACTTTTGTGACTGATATGTTGCTGCCAGGATTTGATGTCACATCACACCAAATGTAGTGTTATAGGATGTTTATTTCTGGGTGCATAGATTATGTTTTATTAGGTTGGCGCAGGGGTGTCCAAACTTTTTTCATCAAGGGCCACACATCTAAACACAGACGAAGCAGAGGGCCGATCAAGGACAGTAGACTGATGCTCAATACAGGGAATAATTGAAATATGTGCATGTTTAACATGTTAGAATGAGCCATCAGTCTTTATTCATGCTAAGATCCTTAAAGTATATAAGATCCTAAATATTCAATATTAGCTTTATCACAGTAGATTTTCAAAAAACTTGCAGGAAAACAAACATTTTTTAATTGATGCAAGGTAATTTGGGCCAATTCACCTGGAAGGGTGAGGGCCAAATAACATTCTGTCTGAGGCCCGCATTTGGCCCCCGGCCCATAGTTTGGACATGCCTGGGTTAGCGTAAGCAATGCCCAATTTTATGATTCACAAATATAGGCCATTAAAGCGTTAAACTAAAACAAGTGGACTTAGTTTAAGATGCCACCATTTCATTACCAGCCAGATATCTGTCTGTGTCCTTATCATTATTTTTTAATTAATGCATTTATATAGCGCCTTTGAAGATACCCAAAGCATTTTACAGTTCATTATTCATTAACTCCACACTCAGTGGTGATAAGCTACTACTGTAGCTACAGCTGCCCTGGGGCAGACTGATGGATTATTGTAAGGAATCACTTCACCAAAATGACACAAATTTTAGGGGTTTAAAACTAAAAAGAGACAATATCCATGTCTTTGGAGTTGAATAAAGGCACCATTTGTTAATAAATGGCAGAATGAATAAAGTTTGCTGTATTGTAATGATAATAATCAAAATATCAAAACCAGACTATAATTTTATAAACGAGAGTAGGGCTTTTACCACTTTATGGATTTCTATTTGTAAAAAATATTTCTTTTACAATATGTGAATGGGTACATTGTGGTATGGTTTCATATCAAAGCTGCATCATCAGGCACATGTGGGTGGCCTTTGTGTCACTTTCCCGTGATGCAATGTAGCTTATAGAAGAAAGGTTTGCAAATAGACTAGATAATAGAAAATAGGTAAAACTGCAGGTAAAAAGTATTATTCACAATTTGAACCCGACCTGTATGGATTTTTAAAGAGCTGATATGATACCGATGTAAAAGCCTTTGGAGGTGCCAATAAGCAATATAACAGCTCATATATTTAGTGATGTTAATATTCACTGTAAATCTTCAGCTGATTACACAACTTAGGTTAGACTCTATTAGATTTTAAGGTGGGTTTGTTTAGGCTACATTTACTGTTATTTTGCCTCTCTACAGTCATATTTAAAGAGAGTAGTTTGCATAATTGGATTTTTTGCATGACATTTTTACCTGTAAACAAAGTAAACAAATTACCACTTAAGCCAGTTTAAAGTAAGAATTCAGTTTTTTTTTTTGAGCAATAAAAGCTGTAATGTATGATACGTGTTTAATGCCATACAGTGGAGCATTCTAGCCAAAGAAATGACATCTCCATTGATACAAGCAGCTGAGGCTCACTACCCATTAGAAAGGTTACATGCTTCATGCTGAAAGTCCAATTCTTTTCATGTGCAGTTGAATGACAGATCAGTACACTACTTCCAAAAACATGCTGACTAATTGATTTGAAGGTCCTATATTACACAGAATTGACTCTTGTGAGCTTTAAGCCATGTTAAAATGTTGTTACTTCATCAAAAACATACCTGGAGGTGTGTTTTGTTTCATTCATGAGTAATGAATTGTAAGTTTGACGAACTGGAATGTAAGAGGAGATAGAGCCTTTGCAGTGGAGTGAGCTGCCTTTACACATTAGACAAGCTTCTGTAACTCTTTTTATATCTCTTCTTAAAACACACTTGTTTACTTTGGCCTTTGACACAGTTTGAGTTGTTGACATTTTATTAAATTTGTTTTTTATTAGATTCTGTTTTTATTCATGTTGTTTATTTATTTATTTATTTATTTTATTTTATTATGTTTTTTTTTTTTTTTTATTTTTTAAGTGCGTTATAAATAAAGTTGTAGTTGCAGTTGCATCTCCAAAGCTCAAAATGGTCTATATCACCTTATGATATCATGAAGGTTTGGTTGGTGGAAGTAGGTGAAGTTTTCAAGTTAACAACTACCCGTTATATTTAGTTCAGTAGAGAGTGGCAATTCCGGGGCTGAAATTATCCAAATGATTCTAGTGACGGTGTATAGAGTTTAAAAACACGGTGGAGCGCTTCTTCCTGTATTACCACATGACATCACAATGTGGTTTTCTGTTTGAGAGAAGAATACAGTTTAAATATGCAGGATTTGTGTGTTGTTTGAATAAAACAAAAACTTAAAACTTAACGTAGATCAAAAAAAAAAAAAAAAAAAAGGGAAAAAAAAGCCAAATATAATCCCTTTAATGTACTTTTTGACCATATACTGTATTACAAGTTCTAAATATCAGGCGCAGTCATGAATGTGTGAACAATGGCCAGCAGATGGCAGCAGTGCACTTTTGCTGCGCCGTGCCCTTGCCGTGCGTAAAGACACGTGATGACGTTTGGAGAAAAAAAATCAGGAAATCCACCAAAACGAAAACTTCACGCTTTTAAGGTAAGTAGGACAAATATGTAGTTAAATGTCATAATATTAGAACACATAGCCTTTGAGTATCTTTCGTCAATGGCTGATCTCGTATATAGAGGATCGAACGTGTGCGTTTTGACTCGGATGCTTTTAAAGTTGCAAGTAGCATTATGTCAGAGGTGGAGTTCCGCATGAACAGCACTACCTGCACACATCAGTTACATACAAGTTATAGATGCATTATTACAAATAGATTTCCAAAATATGTGGCCGCATCAATCTGTTGTTTTCAGTGGCTATCGAAATATCGAAATCGGAAATATGAAGGTTTCGGAGCCAACCTTGTGCTGTCACATAAGCAGCACTTCCTCTGGGGGTAGTCTGCTACTTTGGTAAAGGTAGAAGTAGGTAAAACATGTTACGCAGCCTGAATTACAAAGGACTTGCAAATTAGAATTCTAAGGTACATTTATAAATGCTACAAATGAATACAATCAGCTAATAATAAATACAGTAAAGTAAGATATAGTAAAGTGAAACAGTAAAGTAAAATGGCATTGTGAAATGTTTCAGAGGAATTAAATCTGCACTACAACTTTTTTAGACAAAAGGTTTGTCACCTGCTTGTCTGCAATGTTCCAAAGTATGGTATTAAACTCCTCTGTCTCCATGGATGCAAGCAGATTATACCAAAAGGCCACACCCACACACACACACACACACACAAATATATATAAATTAGATAAAAAAATTTAATGCTATAGTGATGAAAAATTGACATTAAAACTATGTTACAATGGTGTTTTCTCATTTTTATTTTACTCAAGATTTTATTTCAATTGATTCATGTGAGTTTGAATGTTCAGAAAAGGTCTGTTTTCACCTACCCTTTCCCTACACACTGCTTTGCACTTACTTGCCATTGTTCTAAAATTCCATTAGAGTAAGAGTAAGTGCAGAGTTAAAAAATGTCATGTAGCAATTTTTACCAGTAAAAACTAGTCATGTTATAGTCCTTTAGTCGTTAATGTGGTTAATCGATTGATGGTGTCTTAGGCGACCAAAATTTGTTGAGGTTTAGTAATCATTTTAATTCATCTTAAAGACTTATGGGGCTACAGCAGGAAGGAGTTAGTGAGTAAGTTAGCTGAAGATTTTGTATATATATATATATATATATATTTTTTTTTATATATTTATATGTAAAACGGCACACGATTCACAAGTTTTAATGATATAGTTGCACTACATATGTTTCTCTGCATAAATAGTTGTTTTTGCATGAACTCTTGCTCAGGTGTAGTCTTTTGAGTGTAGTTTGGCTCAGATACTTAGAAATACGCAATTTTTTTGAGAGCTGTTGTCACAGCCCCTTTATACTCAACTAATCGACTGACATAATATGACTTTATCCGAGCAGTAATTCCTTTAAAATATTGCCCTAATATAAACCCATACATCCAGTATGCTATGTGATACTGTGAAAATGCTACTATGAAGAGACGGGGCCTATGAATTTTGAGGTTTTGAACAGGATGCCAGTAGACCTGTTTAAGATGCTTTAGATCAAAATCGGAGTTTAAAATGTAAAATAGTAATCCTATTAATATTTAGCACTAAATTCACCAATTAAAAGTATAATTTATTGTCTTTAATTGATTTGAACTCTAGCCTCTGTTCCTCTCTCCAGCAGATGGCGTGCTACGACTCGTGTAAGACCCTGGAGGAGGACAGTTATGAGGGTGCAGTGGGGGGAGAGCTGTCTGAGTGTGCTCTGCAGATGATGGAAAAGGACCGTGAGTCACTCCTGAGCCCATCGGAGGGGCCCGGAACCCTCACAAGCAGCAGCAGTCTCTCGACCCCGACCCCTCAGCAGGGCTACGATGTGGAGTTTGACCCCCCTCTGGAGAGCAAGTACGAGTGTCCCATCTGCCTCATGGCCCTCCGCAACGCTGTCCAGACACCTTGCGGACACCGATTCTGCAAGAACTGCATCGAGAAATCCATACGGTAAGTTCTTTAAAGGTGCTTTGTGAAACTTTTCTGGTGGAGGGTCCATCTAATCAGATCAGATCTGTGGAGAGGCAAGGTTTCGTACTCACATTGAGAATTCCTGTTTTTCTAGATATTTTTGAGCTATAAAACCACCAGTAATTGAGTAAATGTAGGATAGAGCTCTTTAATGTCATATTGTGGAACATTCCAGGCAGAGCAATGACATATCCATAGAAGTTGACAGACTTCAAAAAGTTAAATAAATACAACCAAAAAGTTAAATAAATACATCATTTATAGGTGGCCAGATGATTAATATATGGATAATATTGTGAATATTGTTTTGAAAAAAAAATTTAAAATTGAATATCGAGTACCGTATTTTTTGGACTATAAGTCGCTCTGGAGTATAAGTCGCACCAGCCAAAAAATACGTAATGAAAAAAAAAAAACATATATAAGTTGCACCAGACTATAAGTTGCACTTTTTGGGGGAAATTTATTTTATAAAATCAGAGACCAGAAACCGACATTTCATCTTGAAAGGCAAGTTATAGTAATAACAATAGAACAGAGAACAACAGACTGAATAGGCGTCTGGTATGTTAACATAACGTATGAACAGTTATTCAGATAACTAGAGCATAAACAACAGAACATAACAAGTTTACCAAACTTTTGATCTCACTCCAAATCACTAAATCCATTGAATTCCTCATCCTCGCTGTCACTTCTGAGCAACTCCGTGACCTCCGGAGGTAAAAGGAGCACCACTTCCTCTTCTGCGTAACTGTCATCAGACTCAGTATCAGTTCCAGTTAGAATTATTCCGGCCTTTCTGAATCCCGACAGGATGGTTTCAGTGTCACTGAAGTCGGTCCAGCCAATGACTTCCAGGAAAGTTACATGGCGCACCTGCCCGGTTGCCTTGAAGCTGTGTTCTCCATCCCAAATTTCCTCCAGTCCCTCACAGGTTTCTTGCTCACTCCAAACTTTCTTTCTGCTGCTCGATTACTGTTTTTGCTGAATACTTGACTACTTGCAGCAGGACAGTGGCTTTTTCTGCAGGAGATATGCACAGTGGTACAGAATAGCAGATACTGAAACAGAAGCCTAGAGTGCCCTCTTGCAGCTGTCAGTGTGAACATTTTAATATGTAATTTGCAAATCTAAAATTAAAAAAAATAACATATGAAGTTTTCTGCACTTTTGTGGGCACTTTTACAAATATTTCACATATAAACCTCAACTAAGGACATGCTTTAACACATTTCTTTTGGACTGGCATATCACTTGAATCGTGTTATCAGGAAACAAGTAAATTAATATAATAAAGACAATATGCCTTCCCCTAAATATATAGAACACAGACACGCTGAATGTATAAGGCAGCAAAAACAGTGACAATGGCCAGAGTTCTTTAATTCTCTGTTTGGTCTTATACAAGATGGATTGTCAACAGATGTTGCAAAGAGGCGGAGGGCTGCCAACCACTTCCACTCTATATTTGTTTATAACAGAGCAATGGTAAATGTAAATGCTGTGTTTAATGCTATGTGTTATATTGATATTGATTTACTAACATTATTTAGCTGTTAAGCTATGTTATACTGCTGTGACTGGCCACCTGAGTTGTCCTTGATATAATCAGCTGTAAATTAGAAGACATAAAACTATTTCTTTGAGGGGTATCACTTTATAGTAAGGCATACCTGTCATCAAGTATCATTTATTGCATCATAGATGCAAACATTTACAAATGATGTATAGGTATGCCTTATTATATAGTGTTACCCTTTGAGGCCATTGCATATTGATATTGTACATGTTTTGTATGCTAATATAATACTTATTCAAGTATTCATTCAGTTCATTCTGTATGTCTGCTATGCACTTATCCTGTCTTTGAAGAGCATGACTTGATTGGTTATTTTCTCTTGCTAACATTAGCCTTGTTTGTCTCTTGACAGGGACACGGGGCAGAAGTGCCCGGTGGACAATGAGATGCTGTCTGAGGACCAGCTGTTTCCAGATAACTTTGCCAAACGAGAGATTCTGTCTCTCAGTGTGCGCTGCCCCAACCCTGGCTGCTCAGGCAAGATGGAGCTCCGCACTCTAGAGGTACAATCGAGACATTCCTGGAACACACTGCAAGTTTTAAAGAGCTCATATTACATTATGTTGTTTCCTCATCAAAAACATACCCCAGGTTATGTTTTGTTTCATTCACACATGTTTAACACACAAACACTGCATATTTGGGCTGTGTTCTTCTCTCAAACCAAAAAAACTCTGTTCCACCTTGTGATGTCATGTGGTAGTGATAATGAGCTATAAGGTAACTGTTAACTTGAAAATTACCACCAGGCATCACAGGGTGGAATGGAACTTTTAAACTTTGGAGATGTAGACAGACTAATAAAGGATTACTCAAACATGCGTGAATGAAAACAAAAGACAACTCTGGGTATGTTTTTGATGAGATAATAATATTCTAACACTCAAAGCTCACGAGAGTCAATTTTGCGTCATCTCTGTGGTGAAGCTACACTGTCAGACATGAGCCTTACATGAACTATGACACAACTATAAATGTTATATGTTGCTGAATGAAAATATCCACAACATAATAATTCTACAGCAGGATTGCCCCTCCCAAAAAACAATTTCAAATGTACGTCATCATTACAAATATTAGCCGTAATATATAAATAGCAGAATAGCAGTAGTTATACCTTCTGGAAGCTGAAATGTCTTGATTTCAAAAACAGTGTCCAGAAACCTTTAATATCATCTGGTCCCCACTAGTACAAAAACAAAGTATTTACAATAAATATTGACCCTCAAAACTATTGTTCCACCTACCATATATTGAAGTCGATATAGTATTTATCCTGACAGACGAACTCAAACAGCACATGGAACAGGTCGAATCAGAAGAAAATTTGGCATCTGTATGGACTGTTTTTTTGAAAATTATAATCTATAATCACTATCAGTCCAAATAGTCTTCCTTCTGTTTAATGCTTTATCAATGTTATCAATATTATTCATTTCTTTGTTTTGAAAACATACAGTAGTTTTACATGAAGTCTGATCTTACAGGCTTTACATACGTAAAATGAGTCCAGCTGCACTTTCAGTAAAAATGAAACCTTTTCCATTGTGTAGATCTCTTGCACAGTATCAATCCAGTTCTCGATTGTTGGCCACTCAGGTTTAAGCCATTTCCTTGTTAGTGTCTTTGTACTTACAGCCAACAGAATGTGGAGTGATCTCTAGTTTTTATTGTTAAAGCCATCTAGTACTAGGCATTTATTCATTTCTATGTATTTAGTATAAGTTATGCAAGCTTCAAGGAATGAGTGGATTTAGAGCTTATAGAGCAATAGGACCATAATATTTTCAGTATAGTCATTTATTGATTAGCATGCATGTATAAAGTCATATACAGGCACAAATGCATGTATCAAAAAGCATTACTCAGATGATGAATACTCAATTTCCTGTCTCACAGCCACAACAGCCACAGTGGTATAAAAGTGTGCCACAATGCATCACACTACTACAGTATACTAATATGTATCAAAGAAGTGTTTCAATGTCAAATTCAGAGATAGAGATTAATCTTAAAGGTGCATTGTGTAACTTTTCTGATGGAGGGCCCGTCACCTGCTTGTTTCTATAGATATGTCATTGCTCTGCCTGGAGTGTTCCACAGTATGACATTAAACAGTTCTAACTTACGTTTCTTTAATTGAAAAAAAAAAATAAAAAAAACTAGAAAAACAGGCATTCTTACTGTGAACAGGGTTGCCTCTCCACAGGTCTGACCTGTAACTTGGTCTGGTTTAGTCTCCATAAAGATGGAAAGGTTTAAAGCCATACTGTGAAATAGGGTTGGGTGATAATACGGTATTACGGTATAGAGCGATATCAAAAAGTAGCAACGGTATCAGTTTCATTTAAAAAATCTGTAGCGCATAAGGACCTAATATAATATTATAATTTATTGATATCTAAATTTGTTTGCTCAGCACAAATTAATGTGTGGTTGTATTTTCAATTTAATGCTATCACGAATTAAAACTAATAGTATCTATAATGTTTCTTGGGTAGATGACTTGATTTGATTAGTTTCGTTCCGCTGTCATGTGACGCTCATAAGTGAGACAAGATGGCAAGTCCATCTGCAGGCGAGTTGGTCCTCCCCAAAATACTAGTACTTCTGCAGTTTGGCAGTATTTTGGCTTCAGGTGCACATTTGTTTATAAAACTTAAAACCACATGGCTTATTTGCATGAACTGTAAGCGCTGATAAAAACAGCTTGTTTCTTGTGCTGCTGACACGGTTCAGCTTCTGTCGGACTAAAGGACATGACTCAGTGGAATATATGTTTTTTCAGTGGAATATATGTTTTTTTTCTGTGACAGAGGGTGTTGGGGCTGACGGTGAGTCTGTTCTGTGCGTGTGTCGCGTTGGAGACAGTTCGTGTGTCTGCAGGTCATACGTATAGACCATACAGCAGTGGGGCTTCGTAGTTTACCAAAGCCATACTAAAAGATTTTGGTAATACAGTAATACCGTATACCCCGGTAAAATCCTGAGACGATTTCACGGTATGAAAATCTGGATACCGCCCAACCATAATGTGAAACGCTATATGTCTGGAATCCACAGAGAAAAGCATTTGACAGACCCTCCACCAGAAAAATTACATAATTCACTTTTAATATTAGAAAAATGAAACCCAGAAAAGTAATGGTTGTGATTTGTGTGTGTGTCAGAACCACCTGTCTGTGTGCGAATTCTCCACCCTCCCCTGCCCTCACTGTCAGAAGGCAGTGAGGAAGAGCCTGGTGGAGCAGCACGCCGGAGAGGAGTGTCCCCGCAGACCTGTGTGCTGCCCAGACTGTGTGGTCTATTACATCTATGAGGAGAGACAGGTAACGCATGCACATACATGTCAGGTGCTTTTGGGGACATTACACTGACTTACATTCATTTGCTGGACACTGATCAGCGTTAAACCTTTTTGTCTTGCATGTATTCAATTACTCTTGTTTTAAAAATACAGAGCAGTGTTGTTTCTGGGGGCACAGTGACTGAATGGTTAGCACTCACACCTCACACCAATGTGTTTTCAACCTAAACATGGACAATAGGTCAAATCCTCCAGCTAAGGTAGTCCTGACCAAGCCTACCTTAAGTTTTGGAGATGGGTCCCAGTAGCATAAAAGGATAATGCAACTGCAAAATTCTCCCTAAAGGTGACAGTAGTTCAGATGGTAGAGCATTTGTTCACTCATTCACAGATTGGTAGTTCAATTCCAGCTCTCACGGATGAATGCTGTTGTGTCCTTGGGCAAGACACTTAACCCACCTTGCCCCCTGTGTCTGTGTACATTGGTGTATGAATGCGTGTGAACTTGTTACCATTTACAGCAACAATAAAGTGTATCTTAAGCTCCACCTGTAACTTGGCTTGGAGGCGTTATCTGCTTGTCTCCATGGAGATGTACTAGTTTAATGCCAGACTGTGGAGCATCACAGGCAAGGCAATACCTGCAATATGGAGACACGCAGGCAGCATGATACACCTGTAAGCATTGCCAAACCATACTTATGATCTAATAGTCAAGGGTTTACCTCTTTAGTGATACAGGTGCACATAACATGAATATACATTTCAGTCCCCACAGTGTGATAAAAGAACTCACACTAATTAGCTGAAGCCTGCACACTCAAAGAACCAGAGTTATATTAAGTAACCTGAGTTTTGCGTTCACAGTTTTAGTGGCAGAATAAGCGCACCTGATGGGGCTTCATGTGTTTCCATGCTCGTAGTATTCTACCTGCAGTTGTCTCTAGTACCACACATGCTTGTTCCTGGTCACTGGCACACATTTTCGCTCCCCTTTGTCTTCGCTGTTTCACGTCCTCTGCGTCTCTCGCCTCTTCTCCTCCACTCTTCACTGCATTATCAGGCACTCACTTTTTTTCACACACCCCTCACGTTGCATTTATTTGACCACTTTATTTACTTGGGGTCCACACCTTTCGTCTTCAGGGGGAGAAGGAACACTACAGTAGCTTTACACCCTAGAACCTGTTCAGGGACTGAAGGTGGAAATTGGCAATTTTGCTATAACCTGGCACAAACATAATACCCCCTTGTGTAGGGCATTGTTTTTTTATGTGTATTGTCCCTGATAAATAAAAAAAACTAAACTATACCGAACCTGGTCCAACAGGACAACAGAGTGGGGAAAGCAAATTTGGTGTTTGGTCTCGGGCCAAGAATTGAAAACTCTATCATAATGCCTTGCCCCCATGCACGCACAGACATGCACACACACCCACAGCCCCACTGAGCCCCACAAAGCCCCACAGAGCTGACTCCAGTGTCTTTAAATGTCAAAGAGGACAAATCAAAGTGATGGATTGTGTTCTAACAGAGCTTGTGTAACAGGTCCACGAGCAGCAGTGTCCCTTTGCCAGTGTTACGTGTCAGTACTGCGACATGGACCTCCTAAGAGACCAGGTCAGTCTCCACTTTAAAAGCAAGGTTGCTTATTGTGTTTATTTTTGCATTTATTTAGCATTGCTTAAGTTCACATTAAAGGGCCCATATTACGCTATTGTCTGATCTATGTTATAATGTTGTTTCCTCATGAAAAACATACCTGGAGTTGTGTTTTATTACATTCACGGTTGTGTTTTGTTTCATTTTATTCTCTGGAGATGTGTTTTGGTTAACACACAGATCCTGTATAATTAGGCTGAGTTCTTCTCTCAAATAGAAGACACTCTGTTCCACCTTGTGATGTCATGTGGTAGTACAGGAAGTGCTCCACTGTGTTTTTATTCTGTACATCTTCACTAGAATCACTAGACCTGGAAATGACCATCTCTACTGACCTAAAGGTAGAAGGTAGCTGTTAACTTGAATATTGCCACTACATGACATCGCAAGGTGGACCAGAGCCAGAGTCCTGCACGGGTCCATTTTTGGAGACCCGCACCTGCGCATTACAGCACCGCACCCGCCTGTTAACCGTGATTATATCAAAATTAAACCTGCACCCTCTCGGACACGTTAACATTCCACCTGTAACCGGCACGTGCCCATGATAAATCGCACACAAATTAAAAGCATTCTAACTGAAGCATCCGTCAGAATATGAATTGAAAAGTTGCGACTTCAAGAACTACAATCACGAAAGGAAATGAAACGGTTACACTTTCTTCAGTACAAATACGAATTCACAGACACAACTCGACTATCATCACTTCACAGGCTTTATTTACTGAGCAAAAGAAAGAAGGATCGAGATGCTGCACTTTTGCGCCGCACACGCCACGGACTGAACCAAGACGAACCCAGGACTAACACAGGACTGATTCCAGGATTGAACTAGGACTAAAACAAGACTAAAACAGGACTAAACCAGGACTAAAAAGGACTCACTGTCGAGATGGACTCGGATGCGCCTGCGGAGTCCGTCGGGGTAGCACAGGTGAACGGACCGGCTCAGAGCTCAGTGCCCCACGGAGGTAAGCGCAGCCGTCGCCCAATCGCACTTCGCGGACACCCTGCTCCATGGGCTCGCGGTTCTTTCTCTTTTTTAAATCCAGGATTAGTCCTGGTTTAAACCTGGTTTAAACCTGGTTTAGTCCTGGTATAGTCCTGGTGTAGTCCTGGTTTAGTCTTGGTCTAGTCCTGGTGTAGTCCAGTTGTAGTCCTGGTTTAGTCTTGGTCTAGTCCTGGTCTAGTCCTGGTGTAGTACTGGTTTAGTCTTGGTCTAGTCCTGGTGTAGTCTTGGTGTAGTCATGGTGTAGTCCTGGTGCAGTCTTGGTCTAGTCCTGGTGTAGTCCTGGTGTAGTCCTGGTGTAGTCCTGGTGTAGTCCTGGTGTAGTCCCGGTGTAGTCCTGGTCTAGTCCTGGTTTAGTCTTGGTCTAGTCCTGGTGTAGTCCTGGTGTAGTCCTGGTCTAGTCCTGGTCTAGTCCTGGTCTAGTCCCGGTGTAGTCCCGGTGTAGTCCCGGTGTAGTCCTGGTCTAGTCCTGGTCTAGTCCTTGGTCTAGTCCTGGTCTAGTCCTGGTCTAGTCCTGGTGTAGTCCTGGTGTAGTCCTGGTTTAGTCCTGGTTTAGTCCTGGTTTAGTCCTGTTGTGGTCCTGGTTTAGTCTTGGTGTAGTCCTGGTGTAGTTCTGGTTTAGTCTTGGTCTGCCCATGTGTAACTGCTACCGGCCCGCATACCCGCCCATAAAATTCCATAACATTAAAACTCACCCATTTCAGCAAACCCACGAGTACCCGACCTGTTGCAGGACTCCGAACAGAGCATTTTGAGCTTTGTAGATAATAAACAACTAAAGACTAATAAACCAGGATTACTCAAACACATATAATCCTGTGTGAAACAAAACACAAAAGTGTGGCTATGTTTTTGATGAGGTAACAGCATTATAACATGTCTTAAAGCTCTAACGAGTCAATTTTGTGTAATATCAACAGTCACCCCATGATTCCATCTGTGAAATCTATTCCACAAATCCACTGCTGAGCTCCATACTGGGCTCTGTACAGCTGCAGTGTGGTTTGCAGAAGCTGGTGGTTACACTGGGGTTATAAACATTTATCATGAATCCATGAATCACATTTCTTCTGCTTTTGTAGTTCTCCATTTGTGGAGGTGGGCAGATGACAGACCTTTAATATTAGTTATAAATAGCCATATCGCTGGTGATTGTGCATAGCAGCTGATTTTTCTCTGAGTTGCAAGAGGAGGCGGATAGAGATTGTGGCTAATTGCTAATGCTAAAGCCTAGAGCGAGAAACTCTAATAATGAAACAGATAAGGCGTGAGATACGGAAGCACAACTTAAAAGGCACAACTTAAAAGGCTTACTATAACTTAAATGGCAAAGTTGTTAGAAAAGTATTATAAAATCCTCTGTTAAGCAGCTTTAGGATTATCACCATGTTATTCTAATTTTATATTGTGCTAAACACTGCCTTAGTTATAAGACACAGTCATATCCGAAGGTGGCCAATAATGTGAAACCTGTAATAACACATGGCTCACTACACCTGTCACTAACAGCACAGTGAAATAAGCAGAGGGGACATAAGATAATAGTGACAGAAAACTACTGTTATTAAATATGGATTGTTCTGATGTTATTTTTCAGATGGAATCCCACTGTGACACTGACTGTCCAAAGGCACCCATAGCATGTACCTTTAGTATTTTTGGCTGCAAGGAAAGGGTAAGAGAATGTAATTTTTTATTAACTTCTTCTGAAAGCTTGAAAATTATAAGTTATATCTCATTGTCCTATATTGTCACATCAGCATACCCCAATGGGTCAATTCAATATGACCATCACAATATAGCACACACTTATGTATGTATTGTACTCGTGTATCGTACCCTTGTGTTGCTTGTTGCAGATGCTGAGACATGACCTGGCCCAGCACATGCAGGAGTTCACTCAGATGCACATGAGGTTCATGGCTGAGTTCCTGCGAGGCCTTAGTGTGAACGGTGCCAAGCCTCGAGCCGCCTGTAACGGCGCCCCTCCCCAGCCCAGCGAGGAAATGCAGAGGCTGCGGGAAATGGACACACGGCTGGTGAAGCAGGACCACCAGCTGAGAGAGCTCATCATACTCAAGGAGACACAGGTATAAAAATAAAGAAATAAGACAACATCAACTTTTAAAACAAAAAGAGAAGTTCATTTAAAGTTGTGATAAATATTCATTTATCCATTTGATAAAAAAATTCTGACATTTGAGTCTAATCTTGGCCCCTGTTCTGTGTTCCTTTCAGACGGGCCAGCTGACAGAGCTGCGTCGTAGGGTGTCCATGCTGGAGGAGACGGTGAAAGAGCTGGAGGCACAGCAATGCCATGGAGTGTTCATCTGGAGGCTGCGCAACTTCTCTGCTCTGCTTAAGAACCAGGAGGCAGGCCAGCCTGTGGTGGAGCACAGCCCAGGCTTCTACACCGGACGGCCTGGTTACAAGCTGTGTCTGCGGCTGCACCTGCAGACACCCAGCGCCCTGCGCTGCTCCAACTACATCTCCCTCTTTGTCCACACCATGCAAGGTTTATTTGACAGCCAGCTGTCCTGGCCCTTCCAGGGTGTCATCCGCCTGGCCATCCTGGACCAGGGGCCTGAGGGCCATCACCACATGGAAATGATGGAGACCAAACCAGACCTGCAGGCCTTTCAGAAGCCCACCATCCAGCGCAACCCCAAAGGCTTTGGCTATGTCACGTTCATGCACCTGCAACAGCTGAACCAGAAGGCCTTCATCAAAGACGACACACTGCTCATCCGCTGTGAGGTCACCCCGCGCTTTGACACTGGACACAGGGAAGGGCCCGCAGTGCAGGCCCGGGGCCTCGAGGCTCCTGCTGCCCGGGACTAAAAACCAGACTGTGGCTCTTACCGCCAGGGAATAAAAACATACAACCGGACTGAAGCCCCTATTACCAGGGACTAAGGATACATGACCAGACTGTGGCCCTTATCACCTTTATCACCTAAATATACAACCACACTGTCCCCTCCCTACTGCCCAGGACCAGAGACGTACAACCAGACTGTGGCCTGTGCTGTCTGGGACTTAGGAGCAAGCTGAAGGAGCCCAGGCCTTCACCGCACATTACAGAGGAGTTCCACTGCTGACACTGGTGCCATTTACAGAATAACTACATGTCTCTTAGATTTCTTAGCTCAATACAAACACGATATAAATGCTTTGACCACTTTACAGTTACATATCAAGTTCAATTTCTTTCCAATACATTGCAAAGTAGCAGAGACTGAGGCCTAAGGAAATTTAAAGTAAAATCCAGAGCGCACTAAAAGATCGACCCAGAGGAGTTGAAATAAGCACATTTTCTCTAGGTAAATGAATGTAAGGAGAGATGTGAGTAGGAGCCAGTCTGGGACATGCACTAGCTGATGTGAGGCCTTTAAGTTTCATTACAGATGCTGTATTTTACTTTTCCTCTCACTTCAAGAATCATCTAAGGCTCTGACACACAACCTTTACACAGAAGAACAATATCACAAAGTGTTTGAATCAAATGGTGCCATAAGGAAGCGTTCTAGCACGTCACTAACCCACAGCACAACTGCACACTTTATGAACGCTGAATGTTGCTCTTTTTGCTCGTTAGGTGTGGACTCTTAACAGTAAATGCCTTTTTGTGAACAATCTCTAGATCAATCTCTTACTATAGTTCTCAGTGTGTCTGTGTGTTTGTCACTGGCTATAATTTATGCATTGTATATTCATGTTAATATTTTAATGTTTGTGTATTTCATTCATTAAAAACATTGAACTTTAGTTGTGGAAAATATACAAGATTTTTAACATTAATGAAACTGGGTGTGCCATTTGTTGTCTCGTGTTTTAGTGCTCCATTGGGCTGCTCCTGGTTTAGAGTTTACTTTGAACCTGGTAGTGATGGTTTAGTATGAGTCCTGGTTTAGTCCTGGTCTAGTCCTGGTCTAATTTGGGCCATGGTGGTGCATGGAAAGCATAGTATTCTTTGAGGTGGTTTATGTTGTGGAAAGTATCACAGAGTTTTTCACATTTTGCTTTAAGGTTGGTCAAATGAATCTCTCTTTGATCTTTTACTGTAGATTCTCATCAGTGACCAATATATCAAAAAAAGTAAAACTCATATGAACTTTAAACATTGTTTATTAAAATTTTAATTACAATAGAAAAAAAAAATATAGTAATAATAATCTTAATCATAAAGGCACACTTAAATATGTTAGGGCTTGATAATAAATAAAAATGTCATAATTTCTCTGCAGTGCTACTCGTCAATGTAAGGGAGCTTGGCTGCTGCGTGCGCCCCCTCTGGGTCCTCTGTGTCTCTGGGCTTGTCCTTGTCCTTGGATGTCTTCTCCTTTGAACTGGTCAAACTCACTGTGGACAGACAAATATGGATACACACAAAGTACATAAAGACATTAAACCACTCACATGACGCCTTGTTAATGTATTGGCAGATGTACTTCTAGTAGGTAACATTGTGTTGTTTTAGGGACTTTATGACCCATAGTAAATAAAAATATAAGAAAGAAAAAAACAGCAGCAGTAGGTGCCAAGATTATAGGATTTTGGATGGGCTTTCGTTCTGTTCACACGTGTCCCTCACGTCTATCATAATTTTCTCTGCGTTTCACTGTTCTTTTGTCTCCCATGATGCAGCAGACCAGTGTCTTTCTTGTGTCTTTCCCATCCCACATCAGACCCGCTGATCTCCTCTCTCCCCCTGGTCCCACCTGTCCCGTGTCTCCCACCTGAGGTACGAGTTTCTACTGTTGCTACTGCTGCTGCTCACATTCTCCTCTCACAGTTGCCCACTGCATTTGGTCTCAAACAGGTCAATGAATTACGGAAAACATTTATTGTCATATAAATGTTTCTGATCTTACTGCTTTGCGCACCTGCACTTGTAGATGGAGGTGCTGCTCCATGGGTACAGGGTAAGAAAACACACTTTAGGTTAGTGCTGTAAACAGCGTCATGTGAATGAGAAGATTTTTTACAGATCATGATCAAACCAAACTGTAGAGCAGAGCTGAGCCGATAGAGGAAGCAGGCATAAAACCCTCAGTCTGCTCCACTCCACCTAATATTTAAGTACCACACACTTCTTATTTATTTATTATATAGAGCTCCACACCTCACACCTGCGCTCATGGAAAAAACAGACGCAAGATACGACCCACAGACTTTTAATTATTGCTATTTTTAAAAAAAAACTAAAATAGTCAAATGTCTTTGTTAGGAACATTTTCATTTCTTGTATTTAAACATAAAGCACATAGACTGTAGTGTATCGTCTGCATTACTCACATGGAGCTTTGGGAGCATCTTTCTCACACTTCAGGGTGCTCAGAGCAAAGCACTCGGCCATCCAGGACAGCACCTCGCCACAGTACCGGATCTGAGGAGTCAAACCGCCAACCACGACTTAGAAGAACAGTGTGTTTATATCAGATAGAATGATTTAAGACATTTCACTCACCTGTGTCTCCACAGACACCAGGCGCTTCTCCTGATCTCTAAAGCCACCAACGATTCTCAGCAAACTCTGCACTCTGGAAATGCACACCAAATTGTTATAAAAAGAAAAACTGATCACCTTTCCACACACTGGACTTAACATTATGGAGCACTAATGATGAATCACAGAGTTTTTCACATTTTGCTTAAGCTTGGTCAAATGAATCTCTCTTTGACCTTTTACTGTAGATTCACATCAATGACCAATATATCATCATCATTTTGTAGTCATGCCGAGCAATTTATGTTGTCAGGATTAATTTGTTTTCCATTTTATGATTGTTTAAAGCTGAATTAAGTCATTTTAAACTACAATGTGCATTGTAGTTTAACTACATGACTGGGACTTTAACTGCTTAACTGTAACTATTACAATTACATGGCTAGAATTATTCTAAATTACAAGTAGTACATTTAAAACTGTATTCTACTAAAATTACAACTACCTATCCCTATCCTATTAGGTACTCTTCACTGCTGAATATTGGTTACCTGTCCAGCCAGAATCATACATTTTGACAAAACTTTACAAAGAATGGATTTGGAAACATATGTTAATTGTCTCCCTGAATTGACTTGGACATGGTCTGTTCATGTCAAAACAAACATGACATCTTACATGCACAAAAGGGGAAAAAATAACTGAGCAACAGTGTAAATTTCTGCAGAATGAACACCTGAACCACTAAAATCTATTTAATTTAGTTATATATTTTGTTCTGAACAATGCAATCATTTTGGAGCAGAGATGTCTTCTGCATTTGAGAGACACTGTGGTTGGACCGTCTCAAGTTTGGATGAAGATTTTTCACTCTCTGTTCCTGTTTAAGTCCCTTCTGGATTTGAACATGGGCTAAATACTAACAAATGCACAGCCTTATCTTCAGCAATAGAGACCCTTAGAAGGCAACAGCATACACCTTTAACCCATAAATACATGTTAAACAAAGGTATTTGTGTTTTGGGGTTACTACAGTTGCGTCTCACTTGGAGGCAGTGTTTTTGAGCCTCTCATCACTGCTCTCCCAGTGCTTTCTCTCCAGTTTGGCCAGGTAGTTCTCCTTCTGCACCGTCTCCCATGTCTTCAGCTTCTGGTCCAGGCCTGGAGGCAGCTCCTTCTCTGCAATGCCAGCAAAGAAAACACACTATTCAAAGTTGGGTTTATTTATATTATACCAATATCTAAACAATATATGTCCCCTTAGAATTTACGGTATTCATATTCTGTGATGATGTCATACTCCCAGATGGGGACAAGAGACAGTTTTCTCTATTAATTATGTTCAAGTGTACCATAAAATATCCAAAAGGTTAATTCACAAGTGTTGAACTTGTTCATTTCTTTTATCCAAGAACTCACTGTATTATAACAAAAATCTTTTCCATGTGCATAGGCCCAGTAATTACAAAGGTCTTAACCATAAACCAGGTCAATAACCTGCAGTCAGACACATAAACAAGAAATCCCACCACAAAATCCGGACCTGTCCTCCAGCTTCAGATAGAAGATTAATGCTATTAAGGAATAAACTAAGTAAATGTAAGTGTTTAAATGGAAATATGATTATATATTTGTAGTCCTAATAATGCAAGGAACTCTGTGTTTCTCTGTTAAGACATTACAGGGAAAATTTTATTTTCTGACTCCCTGTTAGTTAGCTCTTGAGTAGAAGTCTATACTGACAACATGTCTGCTGGAACTGCACATTCTTTACTCTAGGTTCCATCTAGTCCCTTATTCTAGCTCAGTGGTGTGTAGTACCCAGGAGTTCTTGCTTGGACTCGGGCTTCTTGCACAGGCTGAGGAAGACTTGGGACAGGTGGCTGATGATGATGAAGGGCGGGGCCAGAGCGGGTCGACTGTGGTATTCCACGATCAGGTTGTACCTCTGAAACTTCCAGTAGATGTCTGTATGCTCCTGCACCACCTGGAATGTGTAGCTGCAGAGCACACAGAAGACTTTAAGACAGGAGGTATGTCACTGGTCATTTATATCATACCTTTTTCATTTTCAGACATTATAAACTACATTTGAACTACTACTACTACTACTACTACTACTACTACTACTACTACTACTACTACTACTACTACTACTACTACTACTACTACTACTACTACTACTACTACTACTACTACTACTAATAATAATAATAATAATAATAATAATAATAATAATAATAATAATAAACTTTAAAAAGCCCATATCATGTTACAGACATGTTATAATGTTTCCTCATCAAAAAACACACCAGAATTAGCATTTTGTTTCACTCACACATGTTTAACACACAAACACACGTATTACTAGAATCATTTGGATCATTTCAGACGTGGAATTGGCATCTTTAAACTAAACTTCGTCAAACATGTGAATGAAACAAAAAAAAAAAACTCCAGATATGTTTTTGATGAAGTAACAAATTCTAACATGGTTTAAAGTTCCCAAGAGTCAATTTAATGTAATATAGCGCCTTTAAATATGGCTAAAAACAATAAGTGATGATTTTGGACAGATATTTAACTGCTTCAAGGCCTGTGAACACTGCTGTTATTAAAATAGGTCCATCCACTGATATTAAGATAAGCCTTTATTGTCACCAAGTGGAGACATTTATCTTGGGACATCAGGGGCATAATGAAAACAGACATCCAAACAGTTTCATACATAATACTGTGCCTAATACATAAATTCCTCTGACCTAAAGCTACACAATCCACACATCCACATAGAACACAAACTACTACACAATATGTCTATGGCCTAAAGTGCAGCTCATATTGCACTTTTTCATATGGCCCCAAAAGTGCAGTTAATAATGCACTCCTCTTCTTCAGGCTGTTTGTGTCAGTGGATCTTTGGACTATTCTTTGGGAACATTTGGACCATACAACTCTTGTATACAACACTTAACAGTCCCACAGTGAAGGCAATGACAGAAGGACATGGCTCCATTTAAAGCAAACAGTATTTTCTGCAAATTGTCTCGTAAAACAGATGCACATACTACATTTTGTACCCCACTGACAAATGACTTACAAAAAAAATAGCATAAAGAGAAGTGGGTAATACTAAGTTATATTCATTTGAGTGAGTTTGCACTTTTCTGAGTATTTTATTTTTCCTACTTGAGTAATATTGTTATGGACGTATCAGTACTCTTAGTTGAGTAAAAGTTTGGGTTCCTCTTCCCAATGTAGTACAATAAGTCTACAAGTGACAAAAGCTTTACGGTGACAATATGAAATGATTTGAATA